TTTGCCTCAGACTTTGCTCTATGACTGGCCTTTGGGATTGTCGGGCCTCCGAGGAGATACTAAGAAGGATATATATACCTTTGCTCATGGAGGACCATATTAGGGAGCACGTAAACTGGATGCACATAAGTCTGTGGGGCTCCACAGGGTACATCTATGAGCATGAAGGTACTTGGCCGTTTTAATTGTGTGGCTACTCTCTGTTATTTTTGAAAAGTCATGGTGATTGGAAGAGGTTCATGAAAACTGAAAGAAAGCAAATGCCCTTCCTATCTTTGAATAGGGCAAGAAAGAATATGTAGGGAACTGCAGGTTGGTCAGCCTCACCTCCATGCCTGGAAAGGTCATTGAATACCTACCCCTGGAAACCTTTTCCAAACACACAGAGGACAGAAGGGTGACCAGTGTCAGCATATGTTTACGAGCTTACTCGCTTAACTGTCATGAAAGCCCTCTACAATGTGATTGGCTTGATGCATATGGAGAAAGTACTGTGTGTTGTTTAGTTTCAGGTTTTTGACCCTGTCTTCCATAACATCTGCTTAGACAGATGGGTAATGGATTAAGTAGTGAAGTGGTTCAAAAGTGACTGAATTGCCTGTCCCAGAGGGTTGTGTTCAGTGGCACAAAGTCCAGTTGGAGGCTAGTACACTAGCTATGTACTAAGAGTCAATGTTGGGGCTAGTGCTGCTTCATATCTTCATTAATGACCTGGATGATGAGGGCAGAGTGTACCTTCAGCAAGTTTATAGATGATACAAAGCTGGAAGGGGTTGGCTGATAAACTAGAGGGCTGTGCTGCTGTTGAAACAGACTGTCACAGGCAGCATAGAAAGGAATGTCTTCAAGTTCAACACAGGGAGGAGCAAAATAATGCATCTGGAGCTATCTGCAGATAAGCCTCTGCATTAAAACAGTCCCAGGAGTCCAGGTAGACAACTGTCGATGCACCAACAATGTACCCTTATGACAAAAACAGCAAACAGCCTCCTGGGCTGCATTAGGAAGAGTGCTGCCAGCAGGTTGAGGGAAGTGCTCCTTTCCCTCTGCACAACACTGTTAAGGATGGTCAAACACAGTGGCAGCCCAGAGATATTGTGGAGTCTCACTCTTTGGAGATCTTAAGATCCCATTAGGACACAGTTACGAGCAACTGGCTCTAGTCAACCCTGTTTGAGCAGATGGGTTTGGACCAGGTGATCTGGAGAGATCTCTTCTAACCTAATAATTGATGCAGTGATTCTGTATATTCCTTTTTCTACACTCCTTTCTTCCAAATAAACAAGATCTATGCCATGCTTGACAGTACTGTTACATGGTGTAACTTGTGAGCATGTTGGAAACTGAGCCCTGAAACTTGTAACAGGACTAATCGTCTAAAATTAATTTGCAGTAAACAGTTACAGTTTGAAAATTGAAATGTGTGGAGTAGTCTTTGGGAGAACAGCAGGAGTTTTGCCCTTTGACAGAAACATAATTTCTAATTCTTTGATTCTGTCCCAAGTTTGTAGAAATGTCTTTTTTCCAGAAGAATGTTTTTAATTGCAATATTTCTTTCAGAAGCAATTTCCTACTTCTTTCCCAGGATGTTTGGCTTGTTTAAGAACATGAGTTTCTTATCCCAGGAGATGACCTTCCTAAATTCCAGTTCTAATGAAGTAACTTGTTTAAAATAGATCTCTTCCAGAATGTGTTTTCTGCTTTTAAAGTCTAAAGTAGTAAGCTTCAAAGGGTTTTCTAGAAATTGTGTTTTCTGAAAAATCTTGGTAGTTCAGACCAGTGTTGGAAACATACGTTGATGGTAAATAGAAGTGCCTTCTTGGTGTTTGTTTGTAAGTGGTTCTGTCTGATTCTCAGGTTCAGCATCCATCTTGCTCTGCTATTTGTTCCCAGGCTGAGTTGCACAGCTCCAAAGCTTTTATTTTGTGCCCCAACCACTCAGGAATGAAGCAAATCACTGCTTTCCTAGCTCAGCTATGCAATTATATTTAATGGGGAAAAATCATTTATGTGTCTGTCTAATAATTCAGAAAAGCTGCCATTAAGGGATGATCAGTCAGTGTAATCCCTTAGATTTTACTGCATGCTTACGTATAGGTTTATACTGAACTGTATACTATTCTCTGTTCGAAGAAATAAAAACTCGGTGGCACTTAAATGACATTTTGAAGATAAATTATCTTTTGTATTTTGTGGCACTTATAGCGTTGTATTTTGTGGCTGTCTGTGCACACACCATGTATCGTACTTACATGGTGGATTTTTTTGTTTATTGGTTTGTTTTAAAGGAAGTTTGCATTTCTTAAAAGAGAAGTCTGTTTTCTACTCACCTAAAAGCTAATTCATTAATTATGTGGAACAGCAAATGGGAAGAGAAGAAAAAACGTGCAGGATATTGCTGCTGAGCATGACTATTCAGGTCTGATGACATAAGTAGCAGACTGCTACTTGTGTTCTGATTTTCTTGGAAAGTGAGGAAAGCTACAGAGAAGTGATGTCATTCTGCATGCATAAAGATCACTGTTGAGCTGAAAACTCTAGTAATGGTAGAAGGAGTAGAGGATTTTCAGTGTCCTTATATGTCCTTATGCTACTAAAATAGTTAAGATAATGAAAAATACAATCCTTGTTGCAGAATAGTCATTAAAGATGATTCCAGTGTATTTATTATCCTCCCTAAGGAGCTGGAAGTCTTTCACTTGAAATAATGCAAAAACTATTGCCCTGAATACCTCTGTTGATTCTAGAGCTGCTCCCATCCACTTTTTGTGTTCATTTGCTCCCAGGAGCAATGGGAGGCAAGTGGCATTTTGCTAGCAGCACTTTGAAAGGCATGGAAAAATTAATACCTGTTTTAGCAGGCAAGGAAGAAGTATTTCTGTCTTTGGCTGAGTGTGCAGTCTTGAGGAGCAAAAGAAAATTATGTTATTTGTCTTTTAACTGGTTGATGTGTAGCTTTTTTATTTTCTGATGCTGGCTGTTACTTGCAAGCTTTCTCTCTCCCTCCCTCATCCACCCCCCCAGCCCAAACCTGGAGGGCAGCCCAGTGGGATGTCCTTTGGGAAACAGCAGCAGTGTTTTCCCCACAGGAGCCGCTTGCAGTTAAGCTCCCTGATCCCAATGTCACATGACTTGCAATGCACGGAGCAGATTGACGTCCGGCACACACGCTCAAACTCTTTGGATAGCCAAAAAAAAAAAAAAAAAAAAAGAGAAGAGGGGGTGGGAGTGAGGAGGGAGGTTCCCTTGCTTTTCCCCAGCACTATTAATTCTGGCTGGAGCTTGTTTGCCGCGAGCTTGTTTCATGGCAGTAACGAAGAAGCAGTGCTTACCCAGTAGCTCAGTGCTCTCAATGAGGTCAAGCTGGATCAAAGGCAAAGCTCCTGTGGAAACGCCTGCTGTAAGTTCTGCTTTTTCCACAGCCCCTCTAAATAAAACGTCGCCTCGACAACAGAGCCGGGCTTCGGTGTTTTATGTCTCCCCTGACTGATAGTTTTGTGTGAGGTTGTCAGGTTTATGTTGATTGAACTTGTCAATAAGGCATCAGCTGCTGTGTGCTTTGGGAGGAAAGGGATTATTGTTCTGTCTTTATTTTCTGAGGGAGTGGGAAGAGGAAAGTGTGGTTTTGTTCTTTTGAAAAGCTTTAAGCTGTTGAGGTTACAGCTCACCAGATCTTGTTTTATGTAAGCTACGTGTTCTACTGCCTTAAATAAAGTAATTGCGGGGTGTCTTTTAATTGTCCTTGGATCTCACCAAATAGATATTCTTTTGCAACTAGTTACCTAACATGTATTTAATTAAAAAGAAAAAGAAAGTGGAAAGGGCTTAATTAAAATCTTGAAAAGGTGCAGCAATTAAATTTCAGCAACATCCTCCTTACACCAGCTGCTCACCTGCAGGGTCGCTAATGTGATATTCAGAAGTACTTCCTTTGAAACCTAATTCTGCGCATCAGCTTTTTTTAATGAAACTTTCACTTGCAGAGACTTTCAGTGAGCTGAAAATGTTTTCCTTCTATGCAGCAAGCTCTCTGTTTCTGTGGGAATGTGCTGCTTAGCATGAAGGAATGCTAACTTCTGCGGGTAGTGTTGGCACATTTGCAGCACGGACTCCTTGGGGAATAATGAAATTCTGGGCTGTAAATTTTTGACTGTGTAACCCAACTTTCAATAAAGAAAAAAAAATACTGGAAGGCTTGTGAAGTGGACTGAACAAAACTTCCTAGCACCTGTTTGAGTTAGTGTTGTTAATATATTGTAGAACCTCAAGGGAAATAGTGTCACAAATCATGATCCCTATATGCTGTCAAGTTCCTTTTGAAGGGAGATGGCATAATGTCTCTTGAGCTTCAGCTAGTGTGTCTGCAAAATGGGCAGCATTGCCACTGTTACACTGGGAAGCAGCGTAATATTGCAGATGTCAAAGATTCATGGCATTGCCTTACCTCCAGTCATCCCTCTCTCTCTCTCTCTTTTTCTTTTTCTAAGATGTATGCAGTTTCTTTATCTTCTTCAGTTACTGTAGTGGCCAGTGGGCGCTGGTTAATGTTCTATTTGAGACTTACTTAGGTATCTAACTTTAGAACTCAGATAAAAGAATGGGGAAAAGAAAGTGTGAAATCTGGTCTTGCAATATCTGGGTGATACGTGAATATGTGCTGAAGATATATGTGCAACGAACTGCATTTGTGTACTTCTGTTTATTAAATAGCTTAACATGCTGTTACTTAACATGCGGTGATTTTTTTAATTTTTTTTTTTTTTTTTGCCTGACATCTGACTGCAATATAGATAAGAATATAATGTGTAAATTAGCATCTGATACTTAATGCTGGTGTTCAGATGAAAGGATCAAAATATTCTGTGAATCCATCACTGGCTTTTTATTTGTAACTTTCTTTTTCAACAGCTTGTCTTTTGTTTGAACAGCTTCATTTTAAATATATGTAGTAGAGAAAATTATTTTTTCATTTTGGATGGTGATATTCCTTTTCATTTCAGCGTTCAACATCTGAGTTGATCTTAGTTGAAGATGAAGCGACGGATACAGAAGATAATGAAGAGGAAGATTTAGGAGTCATGGAGGATCAACGTAGTGTAATTCTCCATCTCATCTCTCAGCTCAAACTTGGCATGGACCTTACCAGGGTATGGACACAGTATCTTTTTCCTAGTGTGTGTTTGTGTGTGTGTGTGCGCGCACTTAACCCAATAGACAAAGATGTTTACCTCTTCATAAAAGGGTGGTTCTGGACAGCTGTGGACTCCTATTGTCTGCTAGGCAGGCTTTCACATGAAAGACATTATTAGGGGGAAAAAAAATGGATTTTTTTCTTATTTTTTTACAAATCTTACAAAACAACTGTATATATCCCACATGTATATTAAGTCAGAGTGCATCAAGCATGTGAGGAGCCATAGTGTCAATTTTAACGAGATTTGTGGTTGAGTTACTGCTTTGTGGAATGAATCCCTTTTAATTACTTGGCAGCTTCAATTAATTAAAAAAAGAAAAAGGTAATGGTAAACAGGGCAGTCTTCATTGTATCACAGTGCATGTCTGTGCTAAACAGCTCAGCAGTTTGACATTCTGTACATCCTCCTGGTTTTGGAGCCAGTATTGTTATGAGCTTATCTATATAGATGTGAACAGAGAAGTTATGGTTACTGAGAGATTTCCCATAAGTAGCTATGAAGTAGCTGTGCAGGAGATTATTTTCATGGGCATTTGTGTGTTTTGAAGAATTGCATCTGCTTTCTTTTTAATCTTATGTATTAATCAAAATCTATTTTTACTATTTTGTATAAAGACTTTTTCTATGTAGTCTTCTCTGCTTCTTCTAGAACAATTGACACTATTTATAAATACTTACATTTTTAAGACTGAGCAATCCTGTGATCTGTTGCTAAGTATAGCTATTGAATAGCTACTGGGAAGTTAATGTTTTGTTCTAAAGAGGACAAATTTTTCATCATTTAATTTGTTCATAATTTATACTTGTCACTTCTTAGTACGTCTGGTGTTACATACAGTTCATTTTTGTTTTGTTTCTCTGTCATTCTTCAATCATTAATAGCTCTTCCTCTTTTCTGTTTTCCTTGGCTATGGCTGCTGGAATCTGTGATGTTTAAACTAGACTAAGATTCCTTATCTGTTAGTTTTGTGTGCGTTAAAACATTCTGTCTTCCTCAGTGAATAAGGCTTTTCTTTCTGATTCCTGGTGTCATCTTTTTGTCTTAAGAGGCAAAAATCCCAGATGCACCAGTGATGTAAATAAATTTCTGTAAATAAGAGAAGTGTAGACGTGTATGAAAAGTAGGTAGGTAAATGAATACGATAACCTATTTCTTATGCAACGTTCTTGGACGGTGGTTTTTGAGGGTAGCAATGAGTATCATCAGATCTATGCTACGGCAAAATGTTAGTGTGCATGAATGTGTGTATAATGCCTACAACCTGAAAAGAAGAGCAGGCATATGGCAGAGTTAGATCTCTCTCGTGTGTGTGTGATGCATGACTACACATATGATGAGCGTTGATGAGACGTGCCACATGTGCACGTCGCTTTTCTGACCATTTTAAGGATTAAAATAAAAAATTACAGGACAGCTGGCTGCTTTTTTTTCTTGTTTTTTATTAACTTTGCTAACTGACATGAGGCCCTCAGGGCCACAGATGTGTGACAATAAAGCTCACTTTGTTGGCTGTACCGCTTACTGTTCATTATTCCTGTGGAAGTCAGATTTCAGATAGCCTTGGTGCTAGTCAGCTTCTGCTGGAAGTGCTTATGACACAGTAGTTGCTAACATCAGAGGATATTTTTGTAAGTTTGCATTTTCCTCTGCCTTCTTCCCTAGGGCCGTTTCTTTAGTTCCTTTTATGAGCTAGGACTGTAGGATGAGGTACACATGAACGAACAGCTCTTCTGAGCCCTTGCTGACTTTTGGTTCTGGATGCGTAATCATTATCTTCTTGTGTCATGTCAGAGGAAACAACATTACATTAGTGCTGGCCTTGCCTGCAGTGACACCAGTCTCCTACAGTGATAATAGCCACATTTAGCATCATAGAGGTGTTTCACTTTTGAAACGTGTCATGCTGCCATGCCTTTTAATGAAGAATTAAACAGTAAAACATCGTTGTGAAATAAAAACCCCACAACAAAGAATCAAATCTGCATGGGGATTTGCTAGAACAGACTAAGCCCTGTGGTGGCTAAATGGACTTCAGTTCAGCAGCTGCTGGAGAGATGGGGGAGCAGTTTGTGGTGGCAGAGCACAACACAGCACCAATGCCTTGGACTGGTTTCAGACTTTACACTTTGCTTAAAATTGGCATTTCTGAGAAGGAGAAGAAAAAAAGATAGAAAAACAAAAGGAAATCCCTGCCACACTTACAAATTGTTTATTATTTGGACTTTTCAAAAACAAAAAACAGTACCATAAATCTCTTATAGCCTAATAAATGTGTTGGCAAATGGCATCCGATGGATTGAAATTAGTGCTAACAGTTTGTAGAGATGGGTGATTGCTCACCCCATTCCCTTACCTTCCCTATGCATCGTAACTGTACTGAAAAATAAGGGGCTGCTGTTCAGAGTAGAAGTGTTGCTGGTAGTTCTGCAGCCTATCGGCCTGTTGTAAACTAGTTCTGCAGTTTGTTCACAATGTCTTACGTTTTAAAATTGCAAGATAAATGCATATTGTAATTAAAAACGTAAGTGGACGGAAAAGACCCTTATTTTACTCCCACAGTGATGCAGATGACTGGAGAAGGCTTTTGTCCCTCTAAGGTAGTGAAAATCCCAGCATGGGGTGTGCTGGTCAGGTTTCTGAAAGTGTGTTAAGTGCTGATACCCATCTTTTGCCTCCCAGTAAATCATGTGATGGTGATCAGTATCTTTACTTGTAAGAACTTATGCTGTACCTTTCTCAGTTGCGTTCAGATCTGATTAAGTATGTTGAATTCAAACCTATCCTCTTTTTAACATCAAGGAAAAGGGAAGGATATCAGTTAAACAACTTGCTTTTTGCAGAGAGACCAAGAATGGAAATCAACATTTTAGTGCACCATCAGGCAATTCCTTGCTTGAGACTTGGCAACTTGATATTTTATTCTGAAGAGATTCTGCTGTCTGTTCAGTTGTTATGACAGCTTTTTCCTCGTAGGAAAATATGAGATAGTGTTGACCGAATGTAATTAAAAAATGAGCAAAAAAAAAAAAAACAAAAACCAAAACCTGATGTAGTCCAAACCCAATATAAACGTAGATAGTAATTGTATTTTTTTAGACTGAGTTCTGTTTGGCTGCAGAAGAGTCCAAAACCTCATTCGTTTGAAAGGTAGAGTGAATAGTAGCAGAAGTGCATGGCAGTCCAGTGCTGGCAAGAAAAATGCAGTCAGTATACCTTCCAAACTTGTTTGTTTGTATTTGTTTTTTTTTTCTGAGGAAATCAAGAAGGAATTACAAATTAAAAAATCCTGGTGTGATTTTTGTGACTCTGTTAGAGGGTGATGGTGTTGCATATTGAAGATTCCAGGCAATGAGATTACTTTGTAAGAGGCAGTGTTTTATAGATATTTTTGTAAAGCACTACAGCTTTGTAAGCTTTGAAACTCAGTTTTCATATGTACTTATGCCTCCTTTTGAGGAAACATTTTAATTACTCTGTTTTGCAAAGGATCCTTACCTGCTACAGTTGAGGGTGCATTTTCTGTTGTAATTGGGGCTTATCAAAGCAAGATCATGTGAGCTGGCTTTCAAATTTCAAATTGTTTACTGAAACTGAGTAACAAAAATGTCCAGTTTTTCATAATGTCTCCTTAGTGACTGTGTTAGCATGGCTGTGTTAAGTGTATAGATGAGAAGCAGCTGGTGTCTGAGAGAGTGGGTATGGGGGCTGTTTTCAAGCCAACAGGATGAAATCACAACAGTCTTAATGTTGTATCATCAAATTTGCATAATCTTAAGCATAGCCCATTGCTTCCATTTCTACTCCTCCATTTGTGCTAATAAAGGTCACTCTTAGAGTTGGCCAGTTGGATATGAAGAGAGATGCAGTGCTTTTTATTCAGATGAGTTTCCCTGCCCTTTCTGTTCTGTACAGTGATAGCCACTGCTGGCATTTCTAGACACCAGTGGTAGGCTTTTTCTGTTACTGGCAGTTTCCCCTCTGATACCCTGGTCTTTCAGTGTACAATTCATATTAAAATGAGACTCTGTCACTAACGCTGAATTGAGTTTTTAAAGATGATATCAGAAAACGAATATTTGGTCAGAATGAGAATGTTGCAAGGAAGAGGGAGTTGTTTCAAGAGCTAAAAATACTGTAAGAAGATCTCTTTGTACTTTTACTTCCAGATTTTAACTTCCACCTTTAAAAAGCAATCTCCTCAGCTACTCCTCCACCCATCACACAACCACAGGGCACTGAGGACGGTATTTGGCACTCAGTAGATTACTGTGAATAATGTAAAATTAAGGTCTTGGCATCTTTTGGGGACTCATTAGTTTAGTAATAGAAACTGTGTAGAGTGCTCAAGTGTTACAGAGTCTGAGGAATATTACAGAGAGAACTTCACTTGATTTATGTCTAAACTTGTAAAAATATTAGCCTAAGAATGACTGTATTATTTATACTCACACATGCACAGAAGGAGAGAAAATGAGCATGCATGTTACCAAATGGAGCAGCGATCTGGTTTTGTTTTGTGGGGGTATGATGACTTACTGTGAAGGAATTAAGATTGTTTGAGCCATCATGAAGAGTATTTTTTTTCACACTTGTGAGTTTTCTTTAGAAAGAACCAAGTTGTGAATAAAAGTTTGATGGCTTCTGTTCCATTATCCGTGGGATGCATAGGTCTGAACCGTGCTTTGGTTCCATGTAGAATAATACGATGAGATGAAAGGGCAGGCAAATATATTTGTTTGAAAAGTGATTCTCTGTGTGTTCTGAATAACTCTCCCTTTTGGGGAGGGGAACAAGTAAATATGGAGGAGAGTTAAAAGGGAAAAGGAAGCGAGCTGGAAGAGGAAAGCTCTCCAGAGGGATATCTGTGCCAGAAATCTCTTGGCTACACAGCAGTGAGCTCTGAGCTTCCCTGAACAAGGTGTGGAGGGCGGGGGGAAGAGAGAGTGTGGAAAAATGGAGAGAAATAAATTATTCTAGGTCACTCCAAGAAGTTTTATTGAAAAGTTCCAACAAAGCATTATTCCTAAGAGGGGGGCATTGGTGACATCTGTGCTGCCAGATGAGCCATTCGAGATCATGCCCAATTCACTCGGGACAGCTGCCTGCCATGCAGCCTGACTCACACTCAATCCCAGCATCCCTCTAGGCCCCATGGGCCTCTCTAGTCCCAGGACACTGATGTAACAGCTTGTCCACTTTTTGTTTGTTTCAACTTGGGTGAAATAAGGTAAAGGCACGCAGTGGGTTACTGCAGTCATGTGGTGGGGGATGAAATGGAAGAGGAGTGCCACATGCTCTGGGGTGACTGGAGAATGGAGTGGGAAGGTCAGGGGGATACAGTGACACGGTATGGCAGATATAGTCCAACCTGAAGCACTTTCCTGCCTTAGAACCTCTTGGGAAAGGCCTTTGGTGTGATTTTATCCTTGGAAACACGCTTAAGATTTATCTTGGGTTGGATCTGGTTGGCTTGGTTGGAAGGGACTAAATGGGAGCAGAGTTACATATGTATGCACATATGGCAGAGGACCAAAAAGTGAAACTGGGAGCCCAGGTGCTTGAGGTACTGGATAGCTGTACACATTATACTGTCCATCACTTATATTAGGACGCATATGTTTATGTACAAAACCCATCTTCTTAATGGTTCAGGAAGGTGTGCTTTTGTTTTGGAGGGTCATAATCAGTTGTGTCTGTTGATGTTAGAACTAAATCAGTTTACATCAGAGCATGGGGTTTTTCTGCCTTGTGAACTAGGAGAGCAATGAGAACAGTGGTTTATTAACTGAGAGGAGAGGAAAAGGAGAATTTCCATGTGATCGGAACAGCACATCCCTGTTGCATGAGCTACTGTTGAGAATCATAATGAAATAGGAGGCAGGCGGTGCAGCTATCAAAGCTGCTGCTTTTTCCTTTACCCATTATATACAGTGCAAAGGAAGGGAAATTGCTGTTACAGAGGGGAGGAAAATACATTATCCTGAAACTTGGCTAGGCCAGATTTGCAGCTGTCTTAACTGTTCTCCCCCCCCACCCCTCGCCATAGTATGATCATGGGGAAATCATATCTGCCTTTGTCTGCTTTGCATACAGGTAGTGCTTCCAACATTTATTTTGGAGAAAAGATCCCTGCTGGAGATGTATGCAAATTTCATGGCCCATCCAGACCTGTTTTTGTCAATTGCAGCTGGAGCCACTCCTGAGGAAAGAATTATCTGCTTTGTGGAGTATTATCTAACAGCTTTTCATGAAGGCCGAAAAGGAGCGGTTGCCAAGAAGCCCTATAACCCTATAATTGGTGAAACGTTTCATTGCTCATGGGATGTGCCTAAAGATAAAGTGAAACCATTCAGAACTAACGGTGCCTCTGCGGTTTCTAAGGACCCAGCCAAGGAGTCTGGCCAGGACCAGTCCATGTGCTACAAGCTGAGGTTTGTGGCTGAACAAGTGTCCCATCATCCGCCAGTATCTTGCTTTTACTGTGAGTGCAAGGAGAAGAAAATGTGTGTGAACGCTCACGTATGGACCAAAAGCAAGTTTATGGGCATGTCAATAGGTGTTTCTATGGTAGGTGAAGGTAAGAAATGTGATTTTATTTTATTTCTTGAGCTAATGTTATTAGAGTCAAAACAACAGAAATGTATATTTATATGGGATGGTTAATTATATCTGAAATATGGAATCATAGAATCCATAGAATAAAAGACCTCATCTTGTCCAACCATCTACCTACCATCAGTATTTCCCTACTAAACCATGTCCCTTAGTACAATGTCTAATGTGCTCCTTAGTCACCTCCAGGGGTGGTGACTCAACCACTTTCCTAGGCAGCCTATTTCAGTGCCTGACACCTTTTTCAGAGAAGAAATTTTTCCTAATATATGGTCCTATGTTAAGCTGCAGTAGCAATTGATTGTAGATAGTATGTTTTGTAAGAACAGTTTTAATTTTCTTGTTCACTTTTAAAGTAATATCCAATTAGATATTGGAGATTTACAACTGGAGCAAGGAAATAAGAAAAGCATTTGTATTTAAGCTAAACATTCTTTCTCATAGTTTCAGTAAAGAATCATGGCTTGGTAGTGCTTAATAAAGTAGCATATTGTCTCAAGCTTTGTGATAAGCCAAATAGTTGAGGTATTAATCACAATTTGCTGTTTCATATATATACGCATTCAGCTTTGTGATAAACTGCTGCTCAACAGGAATTCAGAAAAGCAGGGAGTCAACGAATTATTAATGTGTGATATGAACTGATAAGCATGCCTGTATCCATCTTGTTACTGACTGCTAATTTATTAATTTAATGTTTCAAAACAGTTTAGTCCCTCTTGATATTTGGGGGTAATCTCTGTCTGTGGTATTTATTCCTTTTTGTTAACTAGGTTTTAGGCAGTACCCTATTAAGGAATAGGTAATCATAGAAACACCAGAACAACTTAGAGTAATTGTTTATTTATGCCATTATGCTAAATAATATCAACATTGAAGATAGTAACAAAGGAGGGTGAGGACAACCATTAGGGTGCTGAAAAAAAACTCACACCCTGATATCTGAGAGCAGACAGATATGTTCTGTTGTTCCTGTTGGAAGTAAACAGCAGAGTCAAGCAGTAGACATGGCTACAGTAGCTTCTTTCCTGATGTCAATATATTCACTTTTCGTACCTGACCCTTGAAACTTGAAACGCTGTTGGATCTGATATTATGGTTGTTGTGATAGTTTAAATCTATAATCGTGCTGCTGTTTTCTTTTTCCAGAGATTTTGGTATTTTAATATGGGGTGAAGTGAGTGTCAGAAGGGAAGCAGGTCCTTTTGTCCATCCCCTTATTGTCCTACTTCCAGGCCAAGTCATTGGTTTCACTTGTCACATTTTTCTGGTACATATCCAAATCTGATACTGTTTTCTGAGTGAAGGGAGCTGTTTAGTAGAATTACAATCAAAAGCAAAGCCTTTTTAGCAGTGAGGAAATTTCTTGCTGCTAGCACACAGTTCCCTGGGATTGGGGGTGTCTACTGTGGGGATTATTTAAGACTTCAAAGTCCTGATGTGTCCCAGTTTTGAGAGAGAAAAGGGTATAGGAATTAACTGCTTCCCCATTCCAATGATTGTTTGGTGTGTATTTGTGAGAATAAATTCCCTTCCTGTGTGATCCCAGAGAGGTGCCATCAGTGGAGGCGTGCTTTGGGGAGCATCCGTAGTGACAAACCCTTTTCGTGTAAGGTTTACCACTGTCTTTATGATGAACATTTGTGGAAGAAGTTTGGGGTTACCAATTTATAGCTGTCATTCATCTTTTTTGTTCACATAAGTAATACAGAAGTGTGTGGACTCATGGTGACAGCATTTCTTTGAAGTGATGGAGAAACGCCAGTACAGCCCAGGCATTTCTGTTGGGTGTTGAGAACCAGCAATAAGCAGCAGGAAATTGTACCAGCGAATCTTTTTTATAATCTGAGAACAGACAGCTCAAATCTGGCAGCCTCTATTGAAAATGTTTGCTTGCTGTGTGGTTTCTTCACTCAAGACTATACTTTGTTCCAATATAGATTTTTTTTTTCTTTTATTTTAGTCCCAGGGAGATCTTCCTGATACAGTTGGTGTATAGATTTGTCAAGCTGTGCAAAAATGAAAAGCTGCTGCAGGCTTCTCTTTATCATGTCTTACATAAGTACAAATTCTGTGTTAGATTGAGGTCAGCATGAATGCTGGGGAATATATTGCTGAACCAATAAAAAGTAGCCACTGGGCTTATGGTGAGGAAGACTGTTTGTATTTACATGTCTGCTAGAGCAACATGTTTTTTGACATGAAACATCATTTGGAGGGTTCTTGATATTTTAGGATGATGTCCACATTGCTGCATTTCAAATGGAGCTTGTTGTCTAGCAAAAAGTAGATGACGAAAAGGCACATTATTACTCAGAAATTATAGAAAGAGGTAGTTGAGAGAGGTAGAAACTACCAGGAGGGGCTTTCTGACCATAAGGTTGGCTACAGGATTGTATAACCTTACTATTAGAAGCTGTTAAAATGTGATTCATCAAGTTTCTCGGGAGTGATTTAAATATGACTGCTTCTGGGGAAGGGCAAATTGACATCTCGTGAATCATTGAAATCCCCGTTTGGTGTTTTCTTGTGCTTCTTTTTTTTTGTTACTCTATACTGAATGACCTAACTAATCATGTTATGTTCATACGTTTTTTTTTCTGTCCTGCTTTTTTTAATTTTCATTATGAGCATTCAGCTTTTTTTTCCTTGCTCTTGCAGGATATGCATTCAGTGATGTTGATGTGTATTTAAGATAACCTATCAAGTTTACTTCTGTACACGTAGATGCCTTTGAATATTTGCTAGATTAGTTTGGATTCTGGATTCTGAAAAGGCAATTTTCTTGACTTCCCATATGCGTATGTCCTTTCTGAGATGATACTCAGATCATTCTGGTGCTCATATGGCAGTTTCATTATCCTGTGTATTCATTCAACACTGCTTGATGTATGTGGGGAAGAAAAATCCTTCCCCACAGAGCAGCAGAGAGACAAACTGTGCTGAATTCACATAATTTAGTGGTAGCAGTGACTATCTTACTCTACTTAAGGTATTTAACAGAATCCTTTTGTTTACCTTCTGACTTTGTTGTGACCTTAGCATTGAATGCAAATAAGCGTGGTGTATGTGGAAGCTGCTATTGCCTGAAGGTTGTTTTTTTGTGGGTATGTGGCTTCCAAACATCTGAGTTTTGATATTGCACTTCGCTATTTAGATAGGTAGTGTAGTACTGAACGTTTGGACCTATATAGTGTAAGGAATATGCTGATAACATTTCCGTGGCTCTTTTGCAAAGTTGTGTTTTCAACTTGTCACAGTGTCCTGAGATGTGGAGCACATGTTGCTTTTTATGCCTTGCTGAAATAGGATACAGCAGAACTGCCAAGGCTTCTATAGGAAGTTAAATAAAGAGGGGTTTTGACAGCAGTATGGTTCTGTCATACAAATGTATTCAAATTGTGCAAGTTTTAGTGTATGTTGGAATTCAAAGTTACTAAGATTTTCTACTATGATTTTTGTTTATTAACTCCAGAGATGCAGAATGAGTAGACAGGCAATGCTGGAAGTCTGTAAGAGAGGCGGTTTTTTATGCTCGACCTTCATCTTTGGTTATGAGAGCTCCAAATCTGGTTTGCTAAAGAGAATTCTTAACTTCTTCACTGTATGACAAAAGCATTCTTCAGAGCAGCCAGAGCTGAGTTTCCCCAGGAGAAAGCAGAGTTGGAAGAGAGAGTATTTTGCATGTAAGAATTCACGTTGCATGCACAGTCCCTAATTCTGATTAATGTTAATTATGTACTAATGAGAGAGCGAGGGAGGGGAGGAGGGTGTAATGAATAGAATTGTATTAGGATTTAAATTAGCAGGGGATGGAAGAGTCAGAGTAAATATTTAATGTGCTTTGCATGGTCCAAGGAATCTTCAAACAGATTCTGATTGTAAGATACCAGAAAACCCTCACTGTGTGCTCCTAGTCTGTCCTTGTTTTTTGTTGCAAAGCAGCAAAATCCAACAGAAAGCGTTACGTTTGATTCACGGGTTAATTTGCAGCTCAAGCAGTTTAAGTGGATTGCTCTGTATAATCAAGTGGCTTAGTTAAATCTTGTGTTTTTACTTCTTTTTTGAATGCCTTAAAAACTCCTGAGATGCATGCTTTCAGAAATTATTTCTTAAAACTGAAATCAGCCTGGAAGAAGATTGATAGGTAGGGAAAGACTCAGTGCTCTTTCCAGGATAAATACAAATGAAAGCAACAAGTGCTGGTTTTTTAGTTTTTTCCATTCACGTGAATGTATGTGCATGTATTTGTGCATGTAACAAAGCATATCACTTCCCTTCCTGAGGCATTAGTGACTTGTTAATTCACCAGCTCTGCTCCATGCAGCTGGAGCTAACAAAATATTTCCCTAGTATTAATTTTTTAAATTAATATTTTTTAGCCTAGTGCTGTCAGAACTTTCTGTATGACACAGTCTTCATTACTGAATTTAGCAAATGTGTCCAGCTTCTGGAAAACAAGCAGTGCAGAGCATCTTGCTAGAATGTTTGAGACAAGGGCATCTTGTGTGAACTGTGGTGGCTGCTGATGGGCTGCATCCATGTGTGCTTCATCCCAGTGTGTAACTCACTCTCATTTGTGCCCTGTTATGAATAATGCAGACTGTGAAGAGCCAGTTAAATCAGGAAACTGCCCTCGGCCATTTATGACCCACATACCATTTGTTGTTCAGATTGATCTCCGAACAATCAGTGGGAAGCATTAAATTTCACATGCCTCTTCTGCAGTTATTGATCCAGAGTCTCCTCTGGGTATTCCGTCAATACGTGTTACTGGAAAATCAATTCACAAAGCTACAGCATCAGCAAGGGACGTGTAAGAGTCAAATGGGCAAAATGATATGCCACGAACATTGCTTCCTTTCACGTGGGCTGGGGAGGCATGGTAAGGAGCGTGTCTGTGAATGTGTTGCCTTAATGAAAGCAAGAGCAAATGGTGTTGAGGGTATTGCAAGGGGAGATATCAAAATTCAGCAGTTGTTTACAAAAAGTTCACCCTTCTCTATGGGATTTTGTTCTAATAATACGCTAGATTACTAAATCCACTTTTCTTCCCAGAGTGCTTATGTGATGCATTCTCCCTCTATAGTAGCTGCCTATAAATACTTAACGATTTCTTGAAAGAATCTGCAGTTTCCAAAATTACTGTTTGATGTGAGAGGAGGAAAGTTTAGTTTAAAAAAAAGAAAGGGGGTGGGGGGGAATCTTTTGACGACTTTTCGTGTATATTTGTAACCATTTTTAAAAACTCAGAATAAATGTTCCCTTATAGCTGGGGAGCAAGAGAAGAAACATAGCCCACAGATGACCTACCTGAATTTTTTGAAGCTCAATCACAATGAAATGAGACTTAACAGCAGATGTTGAAAGTACAGAACCCTTTTAAAAGTAGCTGCTAGGTTTTCTTTTTAGTGCTTTTTAATTTCTCAAAATAAAGTTGGGGGGCTAAAATGTGAACTCGAATGGTGGTAGAAGTTACATCTGTTGTGTCTTGGCATCCCTTTGGCTGCTTCTTCAAAAAAAGATGTGGCTGTTAGCTCAGGCCCAGTGGTGCAGCTGCAGTCTGTGTGTTGCTTCAGGCATGTGAGGTTTTGCAGGTGGACTCTGCAACTGCTCCAATGGGAAACTGGTGGTCACCTGTTGGTACTGAAAGCGGTATCAAGTTGTGGATATTTCACATCTTTCCTTTGTTCTTCTTTAGGTTGTAATTATTGAGCTGGAGCCATGTTTCAAGAGGTGTAGCACTTCGTTAAAGAAATGTATTTATTGAGATGTTTAAGGAACTTAAGAAAAGAAAAAGTGAAGCTACTAAATGCTGGAAAGCGAGCTGGTTCAATTTTTAATATATAACCTGCTGTGGTTGTTAAATGTTTACGCTGAAGGTCATCGCTGTTATTTGCCATTCACTTTTCAGTGTGCTTGGCCCTGATCATTAGAACTCTGCATCCCTCCCATTCCTGCATGGAGAAGTAGAGCTATTGATCCCATCAGAGTGATGAAAGCAAACCTGTGCCAATGCAGTTTTGATCGTCTCATGTCAGAGGAGGGTGCCTGGGCCCTGAGAATTAGAAGGCTGTGGGAAGCTTCAGCACCCTTTTGCTGGCTGACAGGCTTGGATCTAAAACCTGTTACAATCTTCCATTTGGAAACTGCAACCGCAGACATTTATCTTCTGTGTATTTGTAGCCATTACAGAATCATAGAAGCAAAGAATCATATAATATTCAGTGTTGAGATCCACAAGGACCATTGAGTGCAGTCCTGGCTGCACACAGCCTCTCCCAAAACCCAAACCCAGTGTCTGAGAGCACTGTCCAGATGCACCTTGAGCACTGCCCTGGCTGTTCCATGCCCACCGCCCTCTGGCACAGACCCTGTCCCTCACCCCCAGCTGCCCCTCCCCTGACACAGCTCCATGCTGTTCCCTGGGGCCCTGCTGCTGTCACACAGAGCAGAGCTCAGCGCTGCCCTGTGAGGAGCTGTAGGCTGCCATGAGGTTGCTATTAGCTTGCTATCCGATTTTAATATCATCTTGGTAAAAGGCTTCTTTGTTGTTTTTCATTCATTTAATGTTGTTATAGAATCTGTTCAGTGAGTTCTGTGTTAAGCACAGCCTGCCTTTTGGGTAGAAATTCTTCCTGTCAGCATCCAGGATGGGTTATGTAGCTCAGCCTTCCTGCAAGGTGTTTAAGCTTGCTTTTACTTACAGGAGTGGAACAGAGGAGACCTGAGGCAAAATGTGTGTCTGTGTTCCAGCTGTGTTCTGTCCATTCAGTGAGGTGAAGGTTCAGCACATGACACAAACAACTTGTGACTTGCGAAGGCAAAATGATGAAAGGCTCTTCCATTGCATTGCTGTACTAGGTTCATGCTTTTGCACTCTCTGGATTGTTTGTGTCAGACTTGCTGGAATAGGAGTGCTGGTTGCATTGCTGCTGGCTGGCTGCAGTTGCAGAGATCCTGAAACAACTGGAGAAAGCTGTGAGGTTACTGGAAGATGGAAACAGCAAGTTAAGAAGCTTCCTGTAGCTATGTTTTGTTCTAGCAGGTGGAGCTGGTATTTAAAATGGTGATTCTCATAGAGCACTGTACTACTGTACTTTTAAATTCTGAATGTCACTTAGGCTTGTGTTTTTGTACAGCATTAAGGGCATATTTTTATGTTGACAATACTAGTGGTGTTCCTATTCAGTGCTTTTTCATCGTTACATTTCAGATCACTTTGTAAGATGCATCATTATTATCTTCAACAGATAGACAGATTAATAAATGCATCTACTAATGTGTTGCAATTCTTCCCCTCTCCACCCCAGGGCGAGGTAAATTGGCTTATGCTCATCTTGTTGCTGAACTGTTCTATTACTTTCTGTATGTCAAGATAATTTTCCTGATATTTTCAAAGGTTTCTGGGGTCTAAGTACTTCTCATGATGGGTTAGTTTTGTTCCCTGTTGTGAAAAAATACTTTCAAAGTATAATTTTGCTTTTAGCTAGGTATTAAATGGGATATAAAAGAGTGTAGAACTGTAATAAAAAGAGACTACCCATAGTTAGCATTACCTAATTCTTTGAGCAAGGTTTGAAGTGCTCTTCACCTGATCGTAGGTCTTATGTCCCATTCTTTGCCATCTTGAAGACTGAAGTATAGCTGTGATGGGAATAGAGCTCTATCAGTAACCTGAAGGAAAGCTGATTTGATCTTCTCATCAGATATGGTATTAACTTTGTAGGTCCAAATAATACAGGAAACTGTGGCTGCTGCTTGTTTTGTTGTTAGAAACCATTACAGAATGAAATAGAATTGGCAGCAGTTTTCTTTGCATAGTAGAGAGTTTGGTGTCAGTGTTAACAGAGAAGTGGCCTCCTGGTGGTTACATAAGACTTTTTGGGCACTTTGAAAGAAAGGAGCAAACTTCTAGGAAATTCCAAGGTTACCTTAAGCGTGGATCTTGGTTGCACCCAGCCAGACCCAGAGTGAAAGTTTTGTTCCCACCAGCAAATTAGTCAGAAATAAACTAGTGGAGAGGAGCTGGCAGTACCCTCCTTCAAGGCAAGTTTCATGTTGTACCCTCTGTGGAAGTGCATTTTAATGATAATAATTGATCAGTGACTCTCAGGTCTTATCAATGAGCTTTTACCATTTCACTGTCAACCTCCTTATGTAGGTGTTCTCTACTTGCTGGAGCATGAAGAAGAATACGTTTTCACACTGCCCAGTGCCTATGCTCGGTCGATACTTACCATCCCGTGGGTGGAGCTCGGAGGCAAAGTCAACATCAATTGTGCCAGGACTGGCTACTCTGCTACAGTCACATTCCACACCAAGCCCTTCTATGGAGGGAAAGTCCACAGGTATGGGAATTACTGTTGCTGACTTGCTACTGGATTTCAAGGAAGGACTTAGTTGATCATTTCTTTTGTTGCTCTATTGCACTGCGTTGTAGATAGATATCTAGATATCTAGATAGAATTTCTTTCTCTATTAGTGTCTCAGGTGGATTACAGCTTTAGAGCTCAGTTTATTGTAGTTGCGCATTTCATGCCGTTTAACCAAATTAGATAAATATCTCTCACTGATCTAAAGTTACCTGTTTTATAACCTGTATACCTCTGCACAGTGCAGGATGAGAAAAAAAATATATAGAAGAAGCAATGTTTCTGCTACACCAGCTGCTGTTTCTGTGCAAGAGCTGTTAGATGAGCTGATGCTGCAGGTGGAGCCAGCTTTTATTCCCCTAAGGAGCATCACTGCCCATAGTAGTAGCTCCACACTGAGGACTCCCATTTCTGCACTGAAATTCTGGATGAAAGTATTGCTCATCTGTCTTTGATTGCCCTTTATGAGAATGTCAGGAGTGTCAGGAAGAGCTATGCAAGATAGCTTGTATCTTACTTCCATCCGTAAGTTGGTGGCCTGATAATTAAAACACACTGCTCCTTTTCCTGTTCTGCTGCAGACTGTAGCCATTTCCATGGCTGTGCTACCTGTTGGGAAGGTGTGCTTTTGCATGGTTGCCTCTGTTTAATTACATTTGATCTTACTATTCTTCCATATGTGTGCCAACCATTTCAACATTGTGCTCTGGCTAATAATTGACATGGGTTGTTTTGACTGGGCTTTTTCTAAAAGGGACAGATTAATTGGTGCTCATCAAAATGGGGAAGGCTGTGATAGTTTAATCATCTAAAAACTAAAGCGAATTTGCAGATTATTTAACACAAACTGCTGAGGCACACAGTGTGCTTGTTCATACAGACACACATAGGAAACTCCTTCCTGTTTTAGCTGGGTCTTTTGGAGAGCAGTGTCTTTATGCTTGAAAAACTATTTCATAGATGTAAGAACATGCTTGTAGCCTTAGCAGTGGTACAGTGGTAATGCTTTCATACACTGATAATGAATGGTACCAGTTATTGCTTTTGTGATCTTTTTTTTTCCTTCTTGAATTAGGGTTACAGCTGAAGTGAAACATAATCCCACTAATACCATTGTATGCAAGGCACAGGGAGAATGGAATGGCACGCTGGAATTCACTTACAGCAATGGAGAAACCAAAGTGATTGACACTAGCAAACTGCCTGTTACCAAGAAGAAGATTAGACCAATAGCGAAACAAGGCCCGTTGGAATCAAGGTAAGGCAGGGGAATTACAGCATTCTGCTTCTGAATCCCGGGTGAGAAAACAGAATGGTGAAGCAACCTGCAGTTATCTACAGCGTGGTTCTAAAAATCCTTGCTTTTGTTTAGCACGTTAATCTAGGTGCAAGTAGCTGAAGCCATGTATTGGCTCTTTGGTATACAAATGACACTGTAGTGATGTAAACATGAGTTTTCTAGTGGGGAAAAATGCTCACATGCATTTTAATGAGCATTTGAAAATGGTAATGCAGTCTTTTATGTATTTCTTAGATTGTAACACAGCAGCCAAATTAGTGAATCTGTTGCAGGTAACTTTGCATCTTATAATTCATGCTGGCACTGCACATTTAATGTATTTCATACATATATATGTAATATATGTGATGTGTGTATATACAGAAATGTAAAATATGATGCAGTGCGACAGAAATGCACATGCAGGTGTTTCTAGGCTGTCAGAACTGACGTTATGTGCCTAATCTGATTCAGGTATATTAGAAAAAAACTCGTTCTGTTATTCTCTGTCAATAACTGTTTTCACTTATCTTCAGAAAAATCAATATTTTTATTGAATTTAGGAGCATTTTATGAAACATTTTATTGGAGGATTTAAAAACACAAGTTGAACTTCATTTTATAATCTTTAAATATATTTCTTTATTGTACAGTGGTGTATCTTGAGGCATTGTGCAAGGTCAGATGTCATTTTTTTTACTTTCTAGACATATCTGTTTATCACAAACACATTTTTCCCTGCAGTTTAATAACAAGGAAAGGTTGAAGTAAATAATGAAAGCAGTAACTCTGCAGTGTATTTGTTGTATTTTTTGACACTGGTAAGCAAATTACAGCTATCTAGTGTTTCTGCAGGATGTGCAGTTTATCAGATTGTCAACAAACTCACTTAAACACCCCTGGAAATATGTGGGAGTTGCAGTCAGTTTCTTAGTACATTTTGGGGCCAAAGTACTGCTCAGTGAACACAGCATGAGGAAGCATTGTATCTCAATACTGTTGGTGGAAAAACAAATCTGGTTATGTACTGATGGTTATTGTCAACTGGAAATCAGTGCATAGACCTTGAAGGGCTTCTGAGCATCAGTGTGTCAGTGCCTCTATTAGTAAGCCAGTGGGAGCAGTCAGTGTCCCGTGTTAATGTTCTCATGGCTTCTGTCTTACATTCCCATGTCATTCCAAAGCTGGCTGCAAAGACACGCAGAATAAATGCTTGTCACCTGGGGTAGGTCATCAGTAAAGGATTAGAACAGGAAATGGTAAAACCATTCAGCAGTTTTGAGGAAAAACAGTCAGGTTGTGAAGAGTCGAGGAACAAAAGCTGCTGAGAAATGTGACTTGTGGTAGATTGCAGGGAACTGGGCGTGTCTGAAGATGTGGTCCACAAATGGGTGTTGTAGTGAAAGTGGTGGTTCAGCACCCATGTGAGTTGTGGAGATGGCATGGCAGCGTGGCACTGGCTCAGTGCTGGCTGCATTGCTGCTGTAGCCCCGTGCCTGCTTGGGGCACAGCTCTGACTGTCACGTGTGCTCCTTCCCCATCACACAGGCACCTCTGGCAGCACGTCACCAATTCTCTGAAGGAAGGCAACATCGATGCAGCAACGGAACACAAACACCACCTTGAAGAGAGACAGCGAGCAGAGGAGAGGCAGCGTGCGGCTCTTACAACCCCATGGAAGCCAAAATATTTTGCCAAAGAGGTACTGCATTATGTTTTCTTTTTTAAGACCAGTAGCATCTTTGTGCTTGTACAGATGGACCTTTGTGGTTTTACCATGTGCTAGTGTTCTTATGTATCACTGACTATTTTATTCTTAGTAGAATCTGGCTTTTAGAGAGAAGCAGTAGATTGTTCCACTTTTATTTTGTACGTTTGTTCGCTTTTGTTCAATTAGACTGAATTTAACACTGAATTTTTGGTACCTAGTGTCAGGCACCTAAAGCTTTGCTTTTTACCTTGAAATCCACAGCTAGATTTGCAAGTGCTCTGCGCTCACCTATCCTGATAATCTTGTTCTTAGCATGGCAAGGTGAACATGCTCTTAGGGACTTGTGTCCAATGTAAGTAAGCAGTCTTGGGATTCATCTGCTTGAAATGAGATTTTACAAAGTTCATCTTTGTTCTTCCTTAGAGAAGTGGAGAAAGGGAAATAAGATGTACTGAGAGAATCATTACACAAATGTATTTAAGTTAGCCAGTGTGTGCAGCTATTTAAACCAGTAGTTTATCTGCTGGTTTTTCTCCTTGGGAATTTCCTTCTATTCTGCAAAAATTACTTTTAAGTTCATTAAGCACAGAGTTTGCAGAGGACAGGAATGGTTTCTAGTGTCGATTGGTGGCATTTTAGCTTTTATGTGGACGTATGCAGATGCACTATGAATAAATCTTGTTTGTAACCTGTCCCTAATTTTCTTACAGGGAGATGGTTGGCAATACTTGAATCCTCTGTGGAAGAGCCTTTGACAAGATGCAGGAATTGTCTTATAACTTTACCCTAAAGGCATTATAAAGATACAGTATATAACTTGTAAAATGTTGCTGAGTAGGTCTCGTTATCAGAAGATACAAATGAGAAGCTATATACTGTGAACAGTGCATCTCAAATAACCACAAGCTCAAGGTGATTCAGGAGCCATTTGGTGTGTATGGATACACAGACACACGCACGTGTACGATATACACAGACATAGACACACAGTATGCATGTGTGTTTGTGTGTGTGTTACTTACACTACACATAAACAAAGTATAAACACTAATGGTGATTTAAAGACCTTATCCTTTAAACGTTAGGGCACAGAACTCTGGCTGCCATCAGCTGGGGTTCCCAAGTTGCGTGCTTGCAGGATCAGGCCCTGTGCTAGTATTTAAAAACCACTTTTTTATTAGTACTGGTTAAGGTTTTCTATTTTTCACTTTTGCCAAAAATGTTTTGCACTTGAAATGTGATGTCACTTAATGGCAGTCATTCCGTTCCAACAGTCACGGGGTAACTCACTTTGACGTATGAATGATGCATTGACAGCGCTCTTTGGGATGCTGATTTAAGAGCATGTTTCTGTCACTTGCAGTGTGAATTTTCTGCTCTTACAAGAAGTAGCAATACCTTCTCAAGAACGTTGTTCGCACTAACCCGGCGTGTCCTCACTGTTTCGTTTGTTCCTACTTCAGAAGTTTCACAGGTCTCTGGTTGCTCCTAGCCAGCTGCTTTTGGTCTTGCTGTGTGATGTTCTTTGGCTGTTGTCATGCCGATGCGTTTGGTTACATGTTTTGCTAAATCCCTCCTGGCAGATAGAGCTGAGGGCTTCAAACTTATTTGCCTCAGCTTCCCTGCCCCCCCGCTTTCCCCAGTCTGTGTCTGAGGAGCCCCAGTTCACAGCCCTGCCTTTAAAATCAAACTGCTGCTGATGCACTTGTGCAGAAAGGCCAGGCTGTGAATCTGGTGCGGCTGCTGCAGTGGGTCTGAGCCTCTGAGCTGCCCATGCCCACTGCTGCTGTGGAGTCAGAGCCCCTCAGTCCTTTGTCAGGCAGAGCTGTACCTTCATTTTTTCTTGCTTGTGGCCCAGGTGATCGCTCTGAATGGTTCCTCATGGGAGGAGATAAGAAGCCTTTTCAAATGAATGATTTTCTGATGTCCAAGTAACGATTTAGTAAATTACTACACTGAAACAAGAACTTTATTAATGAAATGAATGAAATGGGATGTAACTTGTTTTGTAAAATAAAAGAGTAAACAATCCTGCAGCTTGATCTTGCTTTGTAAGATAACCACTGTGACACAAAGAATGTGGATTCTATATATTTCTTAAAACTTTCATTGCTTTTTAGTTTGTGTTTGTTACAGTTGAAGATGTGTTTTTGAGAGGAGTGACAGCAAACAGCTGTGAGATGTGCTGACTTAAGCTCAGTGCTGCTCTAACAGCACTCTGCAAAGAAACCCCTCTGTTTCTCACCCCCTGGCATGGGGCCCTATCTTGCTGTAGTGCGGATCATGTTGTGCCTTTTGTCTGCTTTATTAACAGGATGACTTTTGCTTTGCACCTATTACACTAATACATTTAGGTCAAAGTGTTGCTTATATCTGTTGTTGTGTGTTGTGCATTTTATAATGCTTTATTTTTTGCTGGATATTAAAATCTCTTGAGTAACTCACAGCCATACAGATGTGTGTGTGCAAGGAGACATTAGTTCAGTGGACATAACTCTTGATCTTTCCATGCTGAACTTTAGAACTATGTAGTGAAGCACGGCCTTTCCCTCATGAATATTTGTCTGCTTAGATATACTTTCTTTTCTTTTTTTTTGCACGTTAGAAAGATTCATGTTATGAGTGATTTAAATACTATTTTTTAAGAAAAATGTGGACCGAATGAGCTTAGTTTTGTAACTGATTGTTATTTTTTTTTAAAGAAATATCTTATTTTTAGCTATAGTCAGTGTTTCTCTGTAACACCACCACAGTGATGCAGTTGTGGTAATCACTGAATACTACCACCAGAAATTGTCAGGAAGATGCATTCCTTACCACCTGCCGACAGTCTGCCTGTCATGGTTCTACTCTTGTTTCAGGTTAGTCTGATAGCCAACTAGAGCTATCAGTGCAGTCTGTAGCATCATCACAAAGACCACTCTAAATGCAGAATTAAACAAATGGAACATTTTCCCCAGAACCTTTGACTGTCACATGCTCACTGAAAACAGCCATTGGAAACTTCTTTGTGAGGTGCCAGCTCCTGCTAGGAGAAGAGCAGAGCTTTCATGGGTTTGATGGCATCACTGTCGCAGCTGCAGAGATGCTGTAGTCATTCTCCTAGGACATTTGAGTAACTTCATGCTTGTAATTCATTGAAGGTTTTTTCTGTCTGCATGGTTGGTTGGTTGTGCATACTGAGAACGTTCCACTTGTGCTCTGATAAATGTCTGTTTTGATGCTGAGTCCTCAGATACCATCACTTTTCCCAAGTAACTTGGGAGAGACAAACATTAAACAGTCTCTTATTTAAAGATCCCATCAGCAAGAGATTTCAGAACGACATTCAGAAGTGTTATTTTATTTTTCTGATGGTTGTATGTTCAGTACGTTTTGCAGGACTGAAAACGAAGTATTCCTAAGCCTTATTCTGTAGGGTGTTCCAGTAGCTGTCCTGGACTTGCAAGTGATTATTTTCCATTTTAAGTAGCCAATGTATACACTCGGAATTGTAATGTAATACATGTACTTCAGATTTCTGTTGTGCACACCTGTGGAAGGCCTATGCAACTTTTTTCTTGAATTAGAAATGATCAGAAAGAAAATTTTTACCTTCATCATTTTAAAAGATGCTCTGGCAGTCTCTTCTTATTTGCCTTCCTTTCATGATTTGTGAAGTTAAAATTACGATGCTTGTGAATAAAAGATGTTTCATTTAGTAGTGGGACGCCCTCTCTCTTTCCACTGAAGAATTAGTTAACGAGGAGCATTTATTCCCAGGTCCAGGGCTACCACAATACTGAGGGCACATGTGACCCATTTCTGTGGTTCTGATAGGAGTGATTTGTCAGTGGAGCACTGCCTTTTGTTTATGAACTTAAGTGTTCCCTCTCTTGCTACTGCCAGACACCATACAGCTGGTGTTTAACTTGGGCAGTGCTACACAGAGAGCACAGGGCTGGGTAGCAGTGGTTTTGGAATGGCTGGGAAGCCATTGTTTTGGCAAAGAAAAAGGAAAAAGGTTAAGATGTTCCCTCAGTTCTGAAAATCATTCCATTTAAATTTCATCATTAACAGAGATTATCTTAAAATACAATTTTGGATTACTGCAGCACTGGACACTGGCGTGGTCTGCATTTCTCACTTGTCGGATAATATGTCTGGTTTGTTTTAAATATTCATCCACATTGCTGGGAAACACCATGCCAGAGGACTTTGTTTTAATGCAAAACAGAGACCAACCCTGGCTGTAAATGAGACAGGAAATACCATTCAGTCATGTTCCTCACCTCTCATTGCATTGCTTCAGGGCCATGGCATGTTTTAAGCATCGTTACTGACAGCTTTAGTCACAGCCAAATGGGATTTCATTTCAGTTTTCACTCAGTGGCATTGATATGTACAGAGGGCTGAGTCAAAGCATTTAACTGGTGCTTCCAAGAGTAATCTATCAAGATAGGTACTTAATAAACAGCTTCCCCCTCCTCTTGTGGAGTTGCTTCCACAATTCAGAATGTTTCTGCTGGGATAAACAGCAGTGGTGTCCTCCTTTTCATAGCAGTGCCCAACTGATGCTAAACTTGAGCAGCATCAGCTATGAGTCCACAGGTGTAGTTCTTCAGCAACTGAAGGGCTAAGCCTGGCTCAAAAATATTTTTCCCTTTAGATTTTTACTCCTTTGTAGCAACTGTGCTTCAAACTCTATCACCCTTGACTCAGTAGAGCAACAAGAAGATTGCTGTAAGTGAGGATGCACCCCAGGATGGAAGGTAGGTTTGAGAATGATGAGAACTGAGCGTGCTGCCCTTTGCTGGTACAAGGGGGGGTTCAGCTCTTGTAAGAGCACCTGCAATGTGCTGGTTCCTGAGGGACTGAGGAAAGTCACACAGTGCCTGCTGTTATGTTGGAAAGTCTTTTTTCCTCCTAATGATGTCAAAGCAAGTTTTTGTTGTAATGCAGACTAGTAGTAAAAGCCTTGAAGTCAAATTAGATTTAAGAGTGCTCAGGTAAGTAGCAGTTAAACTTGGGCCCAGGCTCGTCGAGATTCCCAGAGTTAACTGCTTATCCTTTCATGTTGCTTTAAAAATACTATAAAATTAGCAGTTATTTCTGCTCTACTGTAAGAAAATGCTGACAGCTAAAATAGAAAACATTTTTTCACAGAACTGTAAAGATATTTGGAGATGGGAGGGTCACCTCTTAAGCAAGGCTGTATTACAGCTAAACAGGAGACTGACCAGCAGCACCTGTTCAGCTGACTTTTGCACATTCTTTCAGATGCCTGACTGCTTTTTTCTTATCACTGCTGAGCAGTCAGGCTGTAGATCTGCTTGGAATACTACAAGTTATGCATCACCCTTCTGCTTGTATGTAAGTGATGGCAACGTGTCTCAGGCTTCTCCAGCTGCTGGCAGTATTCATTGCAGGGAGTGTTCCCTGAAACTATCACAGCTGCATTGGATTTCCTCACAGTGGAGGTCCTGTGTTTAACTCAACATCCTTCTAGCTTTAGTAAGTAGCTGCTGTGGATTCACTGCAGCAACTTCCTGAGGTCAGTAACTTTGCATTACCCAGTCTGAATGCATGAATTTATTGCTAGGACTGTAAGCGCCACATTACTGAGTAACCACAACAAAACCAACACAACACCCTTATTAACACAAAACTTGAATTAACTTTATTTTCCCCTACAGTCAACAACTGGTCTGCATTGAACTTGAAAGCAACAAAATAAATGAAATCTTCAAATGATGAGGCCAGAAATCCAGATTTAATTACCTCTGTGAAAATGCTGCAGCTGTAATATTGGTCTGTAAAAACCACTGGAGTTGGAAATGAGTTCATAAATCAAAAATATTCTACACCTTGGGAAAGAAGTCAGCAGTAACATTCTCATAAGAACACTGTAAATTTACATTTTCTTCACAAAAGGTACATACTATTCTGCACTTCACATCAAGTTATTGATGCAAGTTTTGTTTCTGTAAAAAGTTACAATCTGTGGCAGGAAAACAAACTGCAAAACCCTTTCTTGCATTTTATCAAAAGAAAATGTTCAAGTCTGTATAAAGTTTCCCTATAGCTGGAAAGTGAACACGTTCAATCTCCATTTATATTACTTTAGTGCATTTAATGTGACAGTTTTCACCACCTTTTTCTTTAAAAAGAAAAACAACAAAAAAACAAACAAGAAATCAGTATAAAAGACAGAGGAAACAAGTAGCGCTATAGCGGGGATTTCTTCAGTTGATTTGAGCACTAAATAAAGATGCAGAGAAACAGATTTCCAGAAGAACTTCTGCCCTCGCAGGTGAAGGCGGTGAGGGGGAAGAGGTTTGCAAACCCTCTACCACTGCCAGCCACAGAAAAGGGGTTGTATACCTGTCAACCTTTTTCTTTCCTACAACAGGCTCTGCTTGTTTCACTAATGTAAACATTTACCTAAAATAGTTTAGTTTCAGTTCTGAAGCACCAGCCACAGTCTGGTGCTCAGCTGTACATTTCTATAGCATTCATTACTGTCGATTCAGATTTTTCCAGAGGATGCAAATTTAGCCCTTGTATCTGTAATGTGCAAGGTTTGCCTCGTCTACCTGATGAAGCGATAGCATAAGGCAGCAGCACTGCAATCACTGCTAACCAAAAACAGCTCATCCGGTCGGAGCCATCCCCCAGTTATCTGTCCTGTCAGCTCTGCTGGGAACTGCAGCTTTGCTTCTTATACCCCAGATCAAAACCAGCCTGCAGCGAGAGGAAAGGATGGTTGAAGAACCCATGGAGTAGTAATTATGGGAGGAACTTATTGTGAAAGTTTAATTTCAAAGACAGCTTTATTTCCTCGTAATTGTCGAAAACAAGTCATTTTAGATTTAACCATTCCAGTTTACATGCTGCTGCTCTTCAGCTGAACGTTTTCCAAAAAAGATTGACAAGTATGCATGTGCCAAGGACCAAATTACAGGGTTCTTTGGTGCAGTCAGTCCAAATTCTCAACCGATTTGAAGGATAATATGTACCAATAAAAAAAACGCTGCTAGACTTGAATAGCAGCTCTGTCTTGCTTCACATTACAAATCTAAAACAGCTGTTCTCAATAAGCCAATATTTTTAATCAGACATTGCCTGAAAATTTTGTACAATAATCTGGACCAATGATGGTTCTGTACCCTCATGTTGCTGTGAAACATGACTTGAGCTAAAGGCAAAGACCGGTTATCTCAAGGACAACTGCTTCGTATTAGCATTCGGAACAGTGTATTTAAACTGTCTTCCTGTTGGGTCTCTTGCCTTTCTTTAAAATTAGTTTATTCTTAATGTAGCCACGCTTCCTTTTGGAGGTCTAAAAAGAAAAACAGAATACAATGTATTAGTTAATGATTTAATCTTGACCGCGATTTTAATGCTGTGCATTTCAATCTGAGCATTAGATTTATTTTTAAAGAGCTTAATGGGTAAATCCTCAACTAAGTATTACCTGTTTATTATTTTTAAAACTGAAATTGTTAATTCATGCCCAGCATTCACTTTTGTATGTGCTGTACTTTTCCAAGCTGCATATACACAATCTGTAGAGTTATTTTCAAAGCTTGAGCTGAGACAGAATTAATAATTAACCAATGTGATAAAGCTCTACTGAATAGGCCAAAGAGCAGAAGTGACAGAGAACATTAGTTTTGTTTGGAAGTACCACCTTACATCTTTTGCCCTATTTGGTTCTCTTTGAAGTGAGCAAGGTAGATAGTAACATTTGCACAAAAAAATATTTTTCAAAAATAAGAGAAACTGCACAATCTTATTTTAATCTTTTAATCTGCAGCTGCCTGCAGGCTAGTTAGTGCTTTCTACTCATGGATCTTTATCAGTGTGTTTTAGGTTCCTCTTTCTTCTTTTTATTTAATAAAGGTGGTGATGGGGAGAAGTATTAATGTTAGTCTGGGCTCATATTAAATTCAAATGCATAAATAAATAGTTAACTCCTGGCAAGCAGAGCTGCACAGTGAGCAGCTCCCACACTTGCTGCAATGTGCCATGCATAGCAGCAGGCTCCATTATGTCCATTAAAGACGACTTTTTAACTTTTTGTTGAAAATAACAGTATTTTAAAGTGAGATATCAACACAATACTCAGAGTTACTACTTTGGTGAGTTTGAGCAATGTCACCCTTATTGTGGAAGAGTGACAGGAGAAGGACTGGACTTCCAGTAAGGAAGCAAGCATTTGAAACCCTCAGCTACTGCAGAGCCCTCAGTATGTGCTTAAGCAATCTGAGTTTAGACACTAGCCCCAGGCTTTTTCCTGGTTCACTCATTCCCTAATGGGAAATCCTTTAGTAGTTGGTGCTACAACAGCTGGTGCTGGATCAAAACTGCCTTTAGACAGAACCAGCACATGCGCAGCTCTAGTGAGGTCACTGCATTTACAATTACTACTTACAGTCTTGCTTTATCACCTACAAGCAAAAGCTACACTGTATGTCAGGCACAGAAAAACTTCTGTTTTTTTTTTTAAAGTAAGACTAGCTTCCTTGGCAACTCTCAAATGCCTTATTTCACTTAAAATATGCAACTTTTACCATTTTTACCAGTCCCCTCTAACATTCCTTATTTGTACTTATATGACGTATGTATGTTTACTGCCTGCACTAATTCACACACGTTTCTTTCTGACAGGATTCTGGGATTCCTTTTGCAACGTGTGTTAGTATATACAGGGGTCAGAAGCCATGAAGGACAGGGCTGCTGCTACGATTCTCCCGAGCTCCCTGATAACAAATCCTTCTTAGCAGGCTGAAGTAGCACGCCAAACTAACACTAAGATGACATCAAACAGTAAGCAGCCAGACACTTAAGTTCCATCAACAAAAGTTTCATATTTAATTTATTTTATACAAAAGTGCCATTTTTAAACTTCTAGGCATCACTACTTTCAAACAAAGTCAGAAAGCAACTTCCACATAATTTACTTAGTGAGCCATAGTTACTGAAACATGAATTGATTTACTTTAGAGATTATACTTCCAGTTACATGAAGACTTAGGAGTTGTAACAGCCAGTGACACGTTCTATTTCCAGTTAGCATTCTGCCTAAAAAAAATCTAGCCTTGTGTCTTCACATGCTTGTAAGTTAAGCAGACAGTAAATTAACAATTATTACCAGCAGGCAGGTCTGATATTGGACACTAACATGAACAGTATCCGTAACATTCTGGCTAGTGGAAATACATAATTCACCCGCTATGTGATTGACTTAAAAATAAATTGCCCTCTCTTGACCCTCTGAGTTACTTCACTGGGAACCCACCTTCTTTGACAAATACTTCTGTTTCGGTACAATGTTGGTTACTCTAAGTTTATGATCCAACGTCTCCCTGTTGTCTAGTTGTTTCACCTTGTATATTCTAACCAGCCAGTGCTCTGAGGTAAAGGCTTCCTCCAGATGTTTAAATTTAATGTCCTTGTTTCCAATCTCAGCGTTTCGCGTACGATCAAATCCTGGGGGTGTCCGAAAATCCAGCTACAAAGATTAGAGTTGTGTATTAGTTCAAGACAAAACCCAAAAGCACATCACCACAAACTGTGCTGCTTCATACTACGTGGCAACAATTTCCACTTGTCAAAGGATGCTACTTCCTTTATTACATTGGTTACTGCTACACAGAAAATATTCTCTTATTCTCAACTGTAAAAATTGAGAAGTCTCATTCATTCCCACAGTTGATGCTGGAAACAGCACTTTGTATCTTCAGTGGAAACAGCTTCTGTATTCTTCTGCATTCAGAGATTAAACTATTCCAGAGAAAGACTAAGGTACAACAGCTCATAGTAGGTTGGTTTTTTTTGGCACAACTGTTAATGTGTACTTTTCTACTCTCATATTGAAATAGTTTCAGTCTTCCATCTTTCTTCCGTACAAGTCTGAAATAGTTCCTTATTAGCGTTATCAGTTAAATTTGACCCCTGTGTTAGGAACGTGATCCCTTGGCCTCAAAGCTGTAGTTGAATAAAGGGCTTTTGTGCAAAGAGATCAGAATGAGGAGCCCCTGGAGCAAGGGCTGGTGGTGAGAACAGGAGAAAAAAGCAAAGCAGGCCGATTTAGATACATACGTGTTTGATGATCCAAATAATTTTGTGTTTATGTGAATTATGCCCTCCCCCCTGTTATAGCATGGTGTTGCTTAATATACTGGTGTGACTTGGGTAGAAATTGGATGGCTTCTGACAGATACTAAATAAAGACAATAATTAATAGTTCTGTTTTGCTGTTATAAACAACAAATTCTCCCCACCACATAAGAATTGAAGCTTATCGAGTGCTCTGCATAATGGAATTAGGACACTCATCTGAGACCAAGTAAAGGACAGCACAAAGCTAAGTGTCAGTCTAGTTTAGCAGTATAACTGCTTCTGCCTAAAGGCTCTGTGCAGAAAGTAGTTTGGAGGTGTTATAATTAATTTGTGAAGATTACTTTCTTGCTTAATGATTCTACTAGTAGGGCTGTACTCAATCTAAACAGTGGAAAATGCATCAAAGTAACTTTTGTATTCTCACATTTTAATTATGATTTAGTAGAAGAGTTAGCACTAACCTGCATCTCTCCAAATCTGTAATAGGACATCTTATACATGAGGCAGTTCAGCAGTGTTGGAGAACCTGCCTTGTCTACCCGGAATTCTCCCTGAGGAGTGAAGTAATCGCTTTCCTTTAAAAGCAAAAGAAGATAGAGTCAATATAAACTAAACCTCTACATAAGGTAATTTCTCATTCCTTTCTCCACAAAAACTAACAGAACAAACCACCACCACCACCACTACAACAAAGCTTTCGTAAAGAATCTAAATTGAATTCTGCAGCTTAAAAGCTGATTGAGTCAGTATGATGGTGCTCACTGAAGGTAGAATCAGTTACAAACTACCTCACTGTAACCTAAAATGCTGCGGAACAATCTTTCTATATCCCTATTCTTGTCTCAGTACAAATTTTGTCACTTTACTGTAAGCAGTCACTGGAAAACTGACTTGAAAACATACAAACTAGTTGGAGGACGTCTGCCAGAACTGCTCTTAAAATGTGAAAAGCACCGTACTGTTAATATACAAGGTCTGTGTGTTATTGTAGACTTCCTATGTGCACAGTTTGTACATGCAATTTTTTTTGCTGTTTTCACCTTGAGTGCAAGATGAAACTTTCCATGCAGCTTCTCCATTACACCTGTGCTGTCTGAAAGTTTTTGTTTGGCTTAAGCAAATATTACTACAGACTTCTGCAATCAGAGACATTCAAATAACTTCAACTCTACATAAATAAATATTAATGCTAGCTTGTCTCCTGCTATTACAGAGTTTGAAGAAATCTGTAACACCAACTATTTAAACATTCTGAATGCTCTGACTTGTTTTTTAGTAATTCAGTGGTGGATAGTGAGACACACACAGGAATGATAAAAGATACCTTATTCTTTATTACAATGCAAAAAAGAAATTGAAAAGCTTTTGAGGTTACTGACCTTTCATAGCTAAATACTGAAAGAACCTGTGCTACAGACTGCAGGCCTCTGCACTGCTATTGTTCTAGAAGAACAAACCCTAACATATTTTTCAAATAATTACAGTAAATAGAGATTTCCCTCCACTGTGATGAACACCAGAAAAACAACAAAGTGAATAGAGGTTAAAAAAAAAAAAAGAAAAAAAGTGGAGGTGAAAATACAGAACACGTTCAGCCAAGAACCCTTCAGTTTCCCTGTGTGCACTTCTACTTACCCGAATATCTTTGGGATGTTCCCCCTCTGCTATTCTCACCATCCACAAGAACTTATTGATATCATCACCAGAGTAGCCGATCACGCCACCAAAAATAATCAAAACATAATCCACATCCAGACTTCGCATGATCTCGTATGCTGCCGACTCATTTGAGGACATGGCCTTTCCCACCTGCATCATAGCAAAAACAACTTCAGTATCTGTACAGCTGCCTAATGATCACATTCTCAGATCAAGCACCTGCAAGACCAAAAATACAGTTACCCACCACACTCTACAATCTCCTTCTAGGTAAATAAAACAGATTGTCTTTATTTAGAAGGCCAAAAGCTCAACCTAAATGGAAATGCCTTCTGCTCTGCAGGAGAAGGGCTGCCTACTGAAATGAGCTGTAAGAAGTGTGGTAACAACTGCTTTCCTTTTGTGGCAGCTATAGATTTCTCCAGTGACAGCTGCATTGCCAGAAAGTTAGTGTGGCAGAAAATGCCTAATTGCAAATTATTTTCAAAACAGAAAGCCTGACATGAATACATTTTTTGAGATGTTGGTGTTCTTTTGCTGTCCCCCTCCCTCCCTTTTTTCCTTTCCTTCCTTCTGTCCCTCTCCACTGAAGCAGCCATGTTGCACTGCACTCAGTAGCAGACAGGTTTCCTTGGTGTTGAATTCAGGGAAAGTTTATGGAGAGAAAATACCAGACTGGAGTTATCTTTGAGTTAAAAGTGTAGCACTGGCAAGCCAATGTTTTGGCCCTGAAAATCTTTTTAAAGCTGTATCTAAAAAATCTTCTGGAATGTTCATTTTTCACACTTAAAAAATCCACTTAGGTCACTAACTGGCATCTGTTCAGTCGTCCTGTTTGCCATAGAATCTCTTGTACTTAAAAGTATAATAATGTCTCACTGTAGTAGAAGGGCACAACTACCATATAAATAATACTGCATCCAAATTGGTAAAATTCAGTTAAGTCAAGAACTTAATTAGAAAATACTAAACTTAGGCTGCAATCTGTCAAAAAGACCAAGAAGCTCAGTTTCTTGACTATTATCTGTGTGAAATTATTTGGCAGATTTCCATTTCTGTGCAGGAAGAAGTCATCTGGCAAATATTTCAGGGCAATGCCTCATTCAGAACGCAAGTTCAGAGATCTGCTGCAAAACACACTTAGTGCTTACTTCTCCCTTTGTTTGCAAATGGAAGCTAACCAACTCTCCAGTCATACTGGGGAGAATTTTTTATTAAACACCATTAATAATAAGTGCTGTAATGTGCACAGGTACTGTGTGTACAAAATACAAGTGATTGTTTTATGTCCATCTATTCACCTTATACATCTTGTCCTGAAGGGATCTGCAGGTTTGGACATAGCATCTGTACTATAGATACTGGCAACAGCAAAACAGAGCTATCTATACAGCAGATGAACACAGACAGATAGACATTCAGTTTAGAAACTCTGTAACACACTGACTCTGGCAGGTCAACAAGAAAAAAAGAGAAAAGCCTCATTACATGGGAAAGCTTGCTGACTAATATTAGCAACACTGATTCCATTTCCCAAGCTTTCTTTTGGCTGATTCTAGCTCCCTGCCACTGCCAAAAGCACCTCACCTCACACATTTTTACAGTACTTTGTATGCTCGAAGCATAACTCAATTAATTTGTTCATTTTGAATGCTGCTTGCCAGCACATCTGGTCCAACTGCTGCTCTGGGTACTGACAGAAGACAGAAACTATTTTGTCACTTTCCTCAAGCTCTTCCTGGCACTCTGCCCACATCACAGAACACAGGTCTTCTGGGAAGAAGCAGGCACTGAGTGATGGCTGACTACACAGCACCTAGTAAGGCTACAATGTAGAGCATTCCTTTGAAAAAAGGATAGTGTCTCAGTAGACATAGACAATGCTAACGAACACTCTGCCTTAGATGGCATGCACAACCCTTAAACTTCAGAACTGGAAGAAATTAAAGGTACAGATGTTTTATCAAACTGCAGATTTGAGAAAACAATCACTTCAGGTCTGCAACACTTCTATTGCTACTTTCTCAGATTTCCAGGATGTCTGAAAATGCATTTCATACGGTCGGTTTTCATAGTGCCACTCAAAATCCAGTCAAATGCATTGCTGAGCTGAAATGATATGTGTTTGGACAGTGCCAGCCAAGCAGTGGTACCAGTGAGTTTTTGTATATCTCAAGGGGATAATGTGTCTCCAAGGGAATGGTTACACAACTCGATGCTGTCCATCCTCCCACAAAGAAAATACGACAAACTGAAGTGGAGCCAAAGTTCTGGAAACTCCAAGAAAACAAAATGGAGAATCCAAAAGCAGAATTGATCATGTCTAGTTCCAAACCAACCTTTATAACAAAGTTGAAATAATGGCCAAGATACCTGCTCCTTCCACTTCTGTTTCTTTGTATCATACTATCCTTCAATAACAATCTACACTTTCATATCTGTCCAAAAGTAGACACTTTGGTGCTGGTACTCCGCAGACCATTGCCATGCTTACCAGAGCTATGTGGCTGTTGTTCCAAGTGTTGTTGTCAACCAGTGTGGTCCGATTGGCCATCCCTGCGATCTGATAACCGTAGTCCCACCACGACATTACCCTGGCATGCTCGTCTGTGTTTTGTCTCAGCCAGTAGTAGGCTTCCCTGAAGTCATCCAGGATATTGCGAGTGCTGGAAAACAGAGTTCATTTTATTCACATCAGTACAAATATTGGCAAGAAATTGACTGCATCATGATAAATCTGGGCTCACAAACAAAGTCTTTTTTATGCTTTCCACTCCCTAAGAGGCATTCAGTCCCTAGCCTGTACTCATGAGCTTAAACTCACGGACAGATGAACAGCCAGAAGCTGAAACTGCTTTTCAAGACGTGATTAAATGCATTCCCAGTTGAATATATATTCATTAACAAGTTGTATGACCCAAATACCCTTTTTTTTTAGTTTTTTAAACTATCATGCTTACTTTTAGGTATTAAGTATTTTTTGAAATGTTATGTATTTTTGAAAAGTAGAACATTAAGAATTTTTTTATTCAGGTGACAATTTTGCCTTAATATAATAAAAAGCAAAAGTTATAAATGCAAAGGAACAGGAAATGCTTTTGCCCTATAATTATTTTCAAACCTGTGACACTACTTACCCATCATGGTTATAAGAAGCCAGAACAACGCTAGGGCTGGAGTATGCATTGCTTGTTACCCACGTACAGTGGACAGCAAACATCATCAACAGCATCAGCATCAGCATAGTAACAATGTTTTTGATGTTGGGGCCTAGACCTTCTTCTGTTTTCTCCTGTTCAGATACATGTTTTCTCACTTTGCCTGCCTGAACAAACACAAACATAGCTGTCATGGCAAATTCAATCACCTATAGCAATGAAACCGAAATGCCTTTTCGTCACTACGTGCACTCCATAAATGCTGTGGGACATTGCAAAAATCAACCAAGTTCTATTGTAAATTAACTAGGTATGCACAAGAATGTTTTGACAATGCAGCAACTTGAAAGAATGGATTATTCCCCAAAATCTTTTCAGAGGAAGAAAATCTACTGTATGACTTAGCTTAGTGAGATGATGCCCTTTTATAAGGCAGAGTGGAAGAGAGAAGGACACTGGAGTCTACTGTGAGGAACAGGGAGAAACCCTCATGCACTGGTTAGTATAACATAAGCTAAGTAATAAAAACATGAGTAGGTAACACCATCTTTTTCAGGAATATGAGTACAGAAATACCTTCCAGAAATACATTATTCTTTAATTTCACTCTGTCTAGGAGGGAATACAAGAGGGAAGCAGTTAGACACTGGGTGACACAGAACTGCTGTATGAAAGGAGAGGAAGCAACTGCCTGCCATCACTCATCTAGAAAGCCGTGTCAATACTGCGGACTTCCTCTGGTTAAAGACTCACTGCTGATCAGTTAGAAGGCACTGCTTCTCTACTGACACTGATTTTCTTTCAGAGCATCACTTACAGCCTATTAGAGAACAGCACTTTGTTACTCTAAATTTCAGATCTTTGGAAAAGTTCAGAAAAATAACAAAGCTTATCTTTATTAAACTCCTAACTTCTGCTCCCTCCCCTCACCTTATCATACAAGTTGCCAGGGTTCCTTTTGTCATCCTCATCGCTGCTGTCCTCTATTGGTGGATTCTCCCTCTTCATATCATCACCCAAGTAACGCTCAAAGACATTAGAGAAAGCAATTGCAGACAGCATACAGACCACAGGAGTCAGAGTGAGCATCAGACGAACCATCACACCAGCAAAGTAAACGGCACTGATTGCATACAGAGCAACTGCAGAGGAAAAAAAAGAAACCTACTGATGACATTTAGAAAGTAACACTCCCTGTGACTGCACACATGCATGCTCACCAGAAAACTATTTTTGGAAGTGGGCCGAGTATCTGTGTGTATAAAGACTGAAGTGCATCTTGTACTGCTTTTTAATTTACAGAGATAATTAATTAATGCGTATCCCTTTTAAGCCTCAAGTCCTTCCTGAAACTCATCTTGATAACTATTAACAATAACACGACTCCATTTTCATATTCATTAATAATGTGTCAGAAGATCCATTATTAGCGAAATTTAATATCACACACCAAAAATACTATTGGAGTAGTAGGTAGTTTCATTTGGTTAGAAAGGCCAAACAAGTTATTAAATCTGAAAAAACAAAGAGCAAGGATTAGATTCTCATATAAACATCAAAATTTAATTTAAATTAGAAACATTCCTGAACAAACTGGGGGCTTGTCTACATTACAATAGAGATAGAGAAGATGATACTGCAAGCCCTATTCCTAAGCAAGTTTTCTAGGAGAGTATTATCTCCACTCCCTTCCTTTGCTTCCCCTCACCCTTCCCTCCCCCAAAACCCCAAACAAAGCAGCAACAAAACAACAACAACAACAAAACCAACAGGATTTTCAGGATAGGAATATTCACAACACTTTTCATAGGAGGAAAAAACAAGAAGAACATAACCTGCATGCACTGTTAGGAACATCTGTTGTTCATGTAATAATGGTTATTGCTAGTTTGCTACACCTTGACACAAGCATACACTTTTGTGAAAGATTTGTGATTAGCCACAGAAATCATTAAGGGGCACCGATTTATGAAATTGCATTGTATAAACATTTTGCACTTTGTAGTGTGGTGGTATGGCTCTCTGTTCTCACTCCTGGGTCTCTTTAAGCTGACTGAGATGATGCAGCATTAGTAGGCTGAAAGGGAGTCTTGCAGCACTGCTTTTTGCAAGGATTCATGTAAACAAAATGCTCCAAAGTCACAGGATTGAACACAGTAAATGTCCCTGTTGCTCATGGAGTAGTTCCAATAGACTGCTGGAGCCTTCTGCCTCCATAACAGAATGAGTGCACTTCACTCCTCCTTTTGGGCTACAACTCCAAGTTACATCCTCAGAAGCCTCATTCATAGCCCTAGCAGTCTGCTCTCAAAGTAAAGCTTCATACAAACAATTTGTTGTCACTGGCACTGGGAGACCCCACGCCTCTGCTTAGGCTTGTGCCTTATCTAGCACTTGCTCCACAGCAAGTGATTCAGTTCACTAAAATAGCTCAAAATCTGTTAAGAAAAGGCATTTTGCATCATCCTCTGTGGTGAGATGACTGCCAGGTACCCAGAGAAGAATCAGGCGCCCTGAACCTGTGTGGGGAAGGGTTGCTGCTCTGAGTCTTCACCTGGGTGTGAAACTGCACCCCTACCCCGAGGGCTGTGCAATCCACACATGGAAGAGCCACACAACAGATCCGCACAAACGCTCTGACCTCACCTTGCAATAAGGCACTGCGTCACCCACCCACCCATCTCCACATGAACTGCATTTTTATTAACTTGTAAATACTACTGCATGCAGGCAACTTCGAACATTTCCCCCTCAAACATATCACATTCTAGAAAAGGTTTGAACATGTCATAAACCAGCTTTGAGCAAACAAAACCAAAACAGAATCAAGTTGAAGACAAGAGGGTTTGAAACGATTTTAAAATATTTTCTCTTACCAAAGACTCTTTCATCATTGATGTTTTTGATACAGAACCACAGCCCTGCTGGGAAAGTACACACGAGAATATGCAGATCAAAAAAGAAGGAAACCCATGTTGTAGGCTGATGCTCAGACACAGAGGCAATGATCGGGATGTGAATTTTCGCATACCTTTTTTAAAAAAAATTCAGTTCAAATTATTTTGAAGAGATAAAATTATTAAAACTTGTAAGCATTAGGAATTCTGAAATTCATTTCAAAGGAAGCATTGCAATTTAAAATGCTAAGTGCTTTATTTAGCAGAAACCTGATAAAACTTAAGTACCAAAAGATGTCCCCATATCTTATTGTATTTAGGAAGTATTTTTGTGCAGAGCTATTTCAAGCATCAGTATAAAGCATCATTTCCATACTAATTAAAGAATGAGAATTGTAGGCGCTTTGTTTTATAATGGCTAAATAGGAAGCCAGTTTTACCAGAATGAAAACATACAGCTATGGAAGCCATTGTTGTATTCCAGCAGGACACTCACCCATGACAGTAAATTTCCTAGGATTTCAATACTGTATTCTGAAAGCTTTTCTCCATACAAAACACCTTTGTTTGCTTAGTGAATAAATCCAACTATTAAATACCAGGCCAGTTACTGATGTACGTTTTCTCAGGTGCTTAAAATCAGGCCTTGTCTACACTTGGAAATGCATGTTAACCAAACAGCACATCAAACATTCAGTGTGGATAATGACAAAATTGGGTTCCACAGTAAGAGACAGCTCTGCATACAGCCCTAATCTGGGAAGCTATGTGACCAAATGCTGAGCTATCAAATGTTTTCTTCACTGATATCCAGGTCTCACTTAAAATGCAATGACGTGTTTTAAACACAATGTGATTCTTAATGTAAACAAGCCTTCAAAATTTTGATGTTTTGTACATGTATGGGCAGACTGCTTCATTTAGAGGCAAGGAACAACATCTATACATTTTTCAAATAAATTTGAGACTTCCTTACTAATACTATTCTACTACATTTATTACAGGGCTGGTATAGAATCTTCTTTCAGCTCGCCTTCAAAGCCTGATAAAAAGCTGAACCCTGGCCTTTAATCTTAAAAATATACCAGTTAAAACCCACCTTCAACACATTTATCTGCAAAATACCTTTGGTTTTATTCATACTGTCCATTATTTAAGTGTCCCACTAAAGAACTGAACGCTGGATTTTTAAAAGTTAACTAAACCGAAATATTTATTTACAAAAACACACATGAATAAACCAAAACTGTTCAGAGTAGACATCTGCATACACAAAACAGATGTATGAACATAATAAACAGGCACCATGCAAGATCATGTGTAACAACTTTGTGATTTCGTGCAATGCTGCGCAATGAAAACACTGTAAGTTTAAGGTTCTTAGTAATTCTGAAATGTACCCTCAAGTGTTGATACCACCTTTGGTTATCTTATGCTGAGATGACATTTCATAGACAAACATACAATTAACATACTCAAAGACTTCCAAAGAAGCAAGAAATTCAATAAATTTGTGATTAAGATAAAATGGTTGCAAAGACAACAGTTACTACCAATGTTCTCTTTAGATAACTGATCAAAATCAACTGTATTCTTGTTTACTGAAATACTAAATGGATTTGAGAATGAGGAGAACAAAAGATTATCAGTTTTCAGTAGAATGCTATTGATAGCTAAGATTATCCTTTATCTTTACTTACCCAGTGTCCCACAGTGAATAAAATCTGCCACTCCAAGGAGCGATATAACCTGAAAATGAGAAGAAAGGAAAAGACTTTTGCTGCCTAGGTATTTAAATGCAATGATCTGTCTACACCTTTAAATGACAGCACAAAACTAAATACCAGAAGAAATTTCATTAAATGTGTAGAATATGTGAACTAGGCCTTACTGCATCAGGTAGCTTAGGAAGTCTACCAATCATGAACATAGTTTTAGTTATGAGATCACACTGGACTAGTTCAGTATCAAGACATACACACCTCCAGAAGTCAAGGTGATGCAAAATAATTAAAATATTTCTCAAAGAATGACTGATAGCAACCTATGTTCTGTAAAGAAGTACAAGAAAAAGAAAACATAATTGATAAGGAAGTATTTAATTCTTCTCAAATGGCTAAGCAAAAAAAAATAGGAATGACCAATAGCCAAAACATTAACACACAAAACACTCGTTCCATGTTTTTCTCTACTAATGTATCTATATGCAATACAGAATATAAAAGTTGCCATCTGACATGCTGATAAGCTTATATATATAAACATATTTATAAACATCAGCATTATGAGATGACAAAAATTGAAAGTTTAAAGTTTTATTTCTACTTTCCTTGCAACTCTTTCAGCTCCCTCTACATACAGATAATGAGGATCCAAAATGAGAACTTTATGTCCCTTTAATTATTAGCTAAGGAGTTCTGCATGATGTGGTAAGTCTTTGCACTGATAAATACAAATGATATTATTTGACTGAGGATTTTTGTTCAATATTCTGTTTAGGCATTTAAATATGTGTAATGTTCTGTGCCAAGTCATCTTCCCCTTCAGTCTTCGAATGCAAAGCCTGCTCCTAAGCCACTGCACACACAAGTAAGAATGAGATGTCAGCAGATAGGGAACATCTGGCTATGGTCTTTTCTGGATGCATCCAGAACACAGTTTCACACGGGATACAACTGAGGGTGCTGAAATAACTGGCAGCTGTGATAATTATCCATGATCTTGATCAGAGTGATAAGGGAGGGCACTTGCTGCCTGGAAAATGGCTAATGCTACACCACTTGGAAAGCCCAGGGGAGCTACCAGCCAGTAGCCTCTGTCTCTAGAAAGATCATGAAGGAGAAAATCCTGAAATACATCACTAAATCCCTTTAAACCATTCTCATTTCTCATTTGTAAGCTGAAGAACAGCCTGGATAAACAATAACTGGACATGCTGAAAATTGGCTGTACTGCTAAGCTCAAAATACTACATAGCATTCAGTGGCTTGGTGTCCCATTGATGGCTGACTAGAAAAATGTTAAAATATCACAGCTGAAAACAGTGAATAATGCTAAATTAAGAAGAGTGACTGATGAGCATTAAGGCAGGCAGGACTAACATCCAAAACATTAATTTCCTTCTTCCAGGTGCTGCACCTGGGATGCATGGTCCAGATGTTAGCACCCTGCTGCAAGAGGATTATTAAGAAAACACAGGGGGAGCTGAGTGCCATGAGATAGATTGTCAGCAGCCTGGATCACACAGCATGTAAGGAAAAACTGAGGCAATCAGGTTTGTTCTGTCTGGTGAAGCAGTGACACTTGGGGAATCTCAGAAATGGATGCTAACACTTTCTAAGAAATGCAACATAAGACATATTTTGCTACAGATTGAGATTAGAAGCCAAACATCTTGATATGCCAGTCTGAAATTTTATTTATTTTTTTACAAATATTAGTAGGATTTGCTCATTCACACTGGAAAGCAAATTATAAACCATCAAGGTTTAGAAGACTTAAAGGCAAATATTGATGCTAAGTAATCTTTTGGAATAATGGTATCATAATTAACTAAAATAAAACTTGCAATAAAATGTCCAAAAAACAGCTGATACCATAAAAAAATCTACTGTAGAAACACTTGTAAGAGGAAGTACAAGAAAGAACTCCATTAATATAAAAACAAGTTAAACTTGAAGAAAGTGGTTGTTTCTTTTTTAAACCAACCAACCCCTCTAAAAAACATAACTACATATGAGGTATATATTAACATCACCCAGTTTATACCAAGCAGAATTCAGTTTTGGCATGGGTGACATTTATATAGGAAAACAGGTGACATTTTCTTCATTGGAGGAAGAAAGGATGGAGGTAGATGACTAAAGAATCAGAATCAGAAAAAGGCAGTGAGGCATCTGAGGAACTCAACCATGCAAAAACAAGCTTAATTTTGTGAGACTGAGTAGAGCTGTCTTGAAGATTGGAAGCTGAACCACAGAAGAGGAACTTACAGACATACATTAATTTCAGTAATATAGAAATCAGGTTCAATTATTCAATAAAGTAGCTAACTTTATCTTGATTTATCAATGCTATACAGAATAGATTAACTATGCTTATCTCCCTAATGGGCTTTTGCTATAGTTATGTTCCTCATTCCAACCTGACTTCTTGCATCATACTATGTATGATGGAAAAATTCCAATGATGCTACAAAGTTTTGCATGCAAAATATATGTACATGTGCACACTTTATTTTCAGTAATGAAGGAATGAGTCCTGCATGCACATGTTTCATAATGCTCATCTTCTCCCGTTCTTTAATTCTAAATGCGCTCTTGGTATTTTGACGTGATATTGATATCTGTGCTCTTCAGCTGATGATCTATTTGAGCTCTTCAGCTGATTTATAAATCTAAATATTCCCAGTATCCTCAAACCCAGGAAAGAATCCTGCAGCCCAGAACTCAGAGTGAATTCCAGCACACAGACACATGAAGTAATATGGGTGCTGGTTTGCTCTGAGGTTACCAACATCTACTTTTGACTCAGCCAAAATTTTGATTACCTGTTACCTGCTCCAAAGAGAATCTGTTTTCATGTTTATTTACCTGTGTATGTCAAATAGATGACACTCAGGAATACAATACCAGCAGCCAGTGAGACGCCCAAGAAGAACAAGGTCTGAAACTCTTGCTTTGTTAGCCTGTCTCTCAGATACTGCAAAAATGCATATGCCTGCAGCAATGCAAAAACACCTAACAAAAGACAAACATTTCTGTTTAAATGCTAAAAACAATTGTAAAAGAAATTGGCAAACTTACCCCCTATTTGGGTTAGAAAAATACACACAATGTATATCCTTACATCTGAAAACCAGTATAAAATTACCTTCTGACAAAATGATTTTAATAGTTAATAGATATGATAGTTCCTCAGTTATTGCAATGAAGTAATTTACCCACAAAACATTCTTTAGTTATTCTGTATTAAAACATTCTTTGCTTATTATGTATTAAAAGCTGCCTTTCCCAAATTAACTTGGGAGTAAGGGGGAGAAACATCTGAAACCTAGATTGCATATATTTTGACAAAGGCCAGTTTAATATACCTAGGTATTATGAAAAAACAACATGCAGCTCTTGGCTAGCTTGAGTAATGAGTTACAAAGAAAGACTCCAGACATCATAAAAAGCAAGTCTAATAAAGAAATGTATGGAAATCAAGTTACTGAACAAAACAGTAAGATTTAATGGAAGGAAAAAAGAAAACAACATCTAAGTAACACAATCTGAATTATACAAAGCTAGTGCTGAAACACCAGAATTTGCTGGGTAAACATCCTGCACCCTTAAAAAGAATAGTTCCAAGTCTAATATTAAGCATGGGCATTTTCTGTTGTTATTTATTTCAGTGCATAGAATCACATCAATCCAATGATTTTGCCACTCAAAAGCTAAAATCAGTGGTAAAAAAACAAACAAACACATGAATTCAAGCATGTGGTGTTTCTCTGATCATAAAATTGTCATACATGATGTGGAAATTCATTAGTTCCAAAGCCCCAGAGAAGAGCAAAATCTCTATTCATTAAATAATTGTAAAATTATTTTGATGCAAACTATGGTATAATAACTTTTACTCTGTCCATTATTTGCAGAATGTTGAAAGAATCTCAATTAAAATAAAAAATATGCTAAAAATATTTTTTTCTGGTAAATTTTAATCAACATCCAATCGCTGTCCAAAATACATTTTGAGTGACAATATATAACTGAAAAAAGGAGCCATCTAACAAATTAAGCTGTACCACAAAACCAGTCTGTGCTCCTAATAAATAATATGTATGCTCCTACGTCTAGCAGACTCAGTAAAGGTTACTGCTGTCAAGAAATCAAGATGTCTGAAAGCTAAACAGCTACTGAGAATAAGCTTAGTTTAAGAAAACAAAGAATCAAAAAGATTAAAATCAGTAATTTAAAAATCAGCCTCCTATATGTAATATGTCATCTGTAGTTAACTCACTTTGAAAAATTATCAACTCTAAAAACAAATGGCTCAATAAGAACTGTGTTTACCAGTAACAAATGTTTCAATTATACAACACTTGAAAGCAACATTATATTGCAATACAGCAGAGATTATCAATGTGTAAAATAAGTGCTTGTCAGAATGCATTAGTGATTCAGCGTTATGGAGGCATTTTACTTCCATTAGCTCACACAAAGAAGGATAATGTGTTGATTGGAAAGAAAACTTCCCTATTGTGCCTATTTTCTTCAACAATTTGGTTTGTTAGTTTGCGTTATTTCTAATACAAGGAAACGGTCACAAGGGTTTGAGGTTTTCTTGTGCTGAACAGGCTGTTTGGAAGCAAATGGTTTCCTTACCTGCAGCTGCCATGTGTTCACTTGTTCTAATTGGTTGGAATCCCACAAAAGGTATCTGCATTGATAATATTAACCCGACAATGTAGAAAGTGCTATATGCTGGAAAAAAAAGAGGGAGAAAGCAGAAGAGAAGAGTGTGAATAAAATTGTATCCACATTTCAAAAAGCACTGATTCCACAGTAGAACCTGTTCTTCATCTCCAAACAAAGAATGACACTGAAACACAACTGTACTGTTTTAAATATTTTGGCCATTACTTGCTTCCCCTAAAAAAATGCATTCTTAGAGGAAGAAGCAAAGTACTGCTCTTCCTAACTACACTGTTGTTGCTTATTCTTCTTCCTATAGAAGTGAATCATCTACCTAAAATGCTGTAACTTAGCAAGTTTTCTCTTCCCATTTGGTTTTCTTGTTTTTCCAGAATATGGGTGGGAGAAGAGATCTCAGGGAGCAAGTGAAAAAAGCAGCTTTCCATATGAGGATAAATTAAAGGAGCCAGGCTGCAAAGATACAAAACATTTAAGAGTGCACTACTTACAGAATGAAAAAGGTATGCTTGCTTCTGTTTTTAATACAAGAACAGAGGCATGCCAAGAAACTGAGAAGCAACAGAATTAAAAATGAATACTGAGCATCTGTACTATTAGATCTATACTGATAATGGGGACTCATAACCCCTCAGAAAGTTGAGGCCAAGAACACAAAAGTATTAATAACACAACTGAAACGATATTCATGTACTTCATTCTGACAGGGTTTGGTTCCTAAATACTCCAAGGTGAGAAGGAGATGGAATGACAAAAGAGAAATACCAACTACGAACAACCACAAGTCTGCTTACATTGGAAGCAACCACCCAACTCCAAATCCAAATAAGGTTTTCTTCCCTCAGTTGCAACCAGCAATGATGTACCTCCAAGACTTTTAAAACATTCTTACATATCATAAACCACTGGGCTTTGTTATGGCCTCAATCTTATGAGGAGATCCTTGTCCTCATATAATCCTTTACTAAGACAACAGGTTTGGGGACCGCATCATTGAGGACCACATCATATACCAGTGGTATTATTTTTGTTGCAGCTATGTACTACACACCTAGGATACTGTATGCTTTGCAAAGATCACAAAAATGACTGTCATGATGCTTCCAACCAATTCCAGCCTTCTTTGCTGCCGTATTCTTTGAAGCATCAGTATTCTGCTGCTTGGCCTTGCTACCGATTTATTCCCTCTTTATGCCACTGAAATGTATTTTTGCTGTAGGAAACTTCATTTTTGAAGAACTCACTACAACATAAATCATTTATTGTATCATAAAAGTGCTGCAACACTGCCATCCTGTGGAGGTTTAATGATGGCATAAATCACTAGATTTCACACCTGTTTGACCATTTTGAAGAATCATTTTTAATTCTACAACTGGTATGCTTCATTTGCACACTTTTTTTGCACCCCTCAAAGCCCACTTCTCTCAAGCAGCCATCACATCAGCCTGCTTGGTATTGAAAGAATAGGTAGTCTGAGACAACTTCTTGAGGAATTTATTACATGAAGGTGATACTGCATCACAAACTACCCACGTTCCTGTGCAAAGACTGCAAACAGCAGAATGTAAAAACAAGAATTTGATTTGGATTCCTGAAATCTATTCGATATCATAGACACCCCATCCCTGGAGGTGTTCAAGGCCAGGTTGGATGTGGCCCTGGACAACCTGATCTACATCTAGTAATTTAATGGTGGGTAACCCTGCCTGCAGCAGGAAGGTTGAACTAGATGGTAGTTGAGAACCATTCCAACCCAAGCCATCCTATGATTCTAAGACTATAACTTTGATTAGACCAAAAACAGAAAAAAACCTGACCTTCTTTTGGATAAATTCATTTTGCACAATTTCAGTTGCTGTACACTGCACAAACTTGAGAAAAAAAAACTACTGAAAACTACTCTAGAGAATACAATCAACAGTTTTTAATTAATGGATTAGAATCACCAGAAACAAACATTATCTTAAAAGTTATTATCTTAAGTTTTACAATACTTCAGTAGTTAATAAAAACATACGTTAAGATACAACACAAAAGCAAGAAATTTAGTTTTACATTCTGGCAGATCACAGGATTGTTTGTTAGACTGGATGACCTCTGATGGTCCCTTCCAATTCCAAGGGATGCTTTTCTGCTCCACCTACTGTGGGGGAATCTGTTTTTATCAGAGGAGTAAGAATAGATGATCTCCAGAGGTCTCTTCCAATCACTACAATTCTGTGATTCTGTGATCTACAGCTAGATTAGGTTGTTCAGTGCCTGGTCCAGCCTGACCATGAGCATCTCTAAGGACAAGACAGCCACCACGGCTCTGGGCAACCTGTTCCAGTGCCTCACCACCTTTAGCGTAAAAAAAATTCTTCCTTATATCTAATCTAGATCTCCCCTCTTTTAGCTTGAAACCATTTCCCCTTGTCCTATATTAAAGGTTTTTTTGTTTTGAAGTATACAGAAAAAAAAAAGGTAGATTGAAGTGAAAATCACCAAATCTCCCAAGCACACAAGACTTAAATCTACATCAGTAACTTTCCAAACGTAAAACCATTCATGTTTTAAACTTGTGAGAAACTACAAGAGAAACTATACATAAAATAATAGATGATAACATCAACAGTTCCTGCATTCAAATAAAGAGGCTGTTTTTCTAAAATGCATGCAGATTTTACTAGCTACTGTCATCTGTCAATAGGTTACAAAAAGTTAAAGCTGCACACTGGTAGTCTTGAGAAATAGGAGACTCCTGCACACACACTAGTAATTGCATATCACATATGCTCCAAAAATATCTTTATCTTCCCTACTTCAATGAGCTTTCATCTTATCTTTTTTATCTGAATATCTGGCAGTGAAACACACTTCCATTTCTACCCAGAAATGCTTGAACGTTCCTATCAGTTTTTTACAAAAACATCCTGCTAACCAGACCTAGAACATGCACACTGCTGCAAGATGTACAGACATCTGTGTAAGGCTTCCCATGGAAGTTTGAAAACACAAGAGTACTTATGCTTCGTTGTTTCTGGTTACCACATCCTTTTAGGATTTTGTAACAAATAACTTTCATTTTCTCTTGCCTAGCTCACAGAAGCTGGAAGTGAAAATATTTAATAAAGTGATTTTAAAAGAAAAACAAGACAGATTGCTTTCCCCTATAGTTATAAACAAGTAGTTAATGAAAAGGTTTACTACTACTAAAATTAGAGTAAGAGTTTCCTCCCTTCTTTAAATTTAGTTTTAGATTCTGGATTATAACAATAGATAACTAAGAAGCAAGAAACAAATATTTGTATTGGGGTATAAAAAATGAAAAACAGAATGTATCTGTTATATATTTGAACCACTACATGCTATCTGTAAATATTCTAATTCCCCCAGTAGGTTCTGAAAAAAAGCAAAAAAAATTATTAAAAATACTAAGAGAAAATCAGTACTAAAATGGGTAACAAATATATATTTACTAACACAAAACATGATATTATAGTTCAATAAATGCTATGCTCTCAAACTATCTTTAGTAAAGGTTTCACACAAAGGAATCAAAAACCTTCTAGCTAACTTGTACATTTTTGAATCCCTGAATTGCTTGTTAATTATTTCATTCACATATCCACACCACAGCCAACTGATTTAATAGGTAATATCTCTCAACTGTTGACACAGTATGTAAATATCAAGCAAATCAAATAAAAAAAAAAATCTCCTAAAATTGCTATCCAAATATTTCTGTAACTGGCAGTAAGGTTGACCCATTAACCCAAGAAAATCTTAAGGAATCAAGTGGAGGTGGCAGACTATTGTGCTGCATTTTAGTCCAGCCTACATAAAACTTACATAGTTGCTTAAAATTCCCCATGTCTTTTCCTGTGTAGGTCACAATATACTATAACATTTGCAAAATTATTGCTGCAAAACGTTTTAAAAATAGCAGTTGTTTTATGCACTAGGAAAAGAAAAAAGATGAAACTTTCTTTTTTATTTAGAATGCACCCACACAATGTACAAATTAAATACACTAACAGGATTTTAAGAATATCAAAACGCCCAGTTATTTCTTTTTTTCAGTGCACCAAAAAGTAGAAAATGAATTAGCTGTATCTGAAATTTTGGAAATGTGAACAGGATGTCTTAACTCTCTACTGTTACAGATAGCAACTGACTATAATCAGTAATTCAATTAATGAAATGCAATTTGATGTGCAATTACTTAATTCCCACCTAATACAGAAGACATCAGTTTAATTTCATATCTCATGATCTAGCACTTGACAATGACTGTCCAAAGAACAAAACTTACCAATGTAGACCCTCCTGCTGTACCTCTGCATCAGCAGCAGAACAAACACATGCAGTGGAATAAGGTTGATGATGAAAACATAACCACCCCATGCAGAGACCTGTGAGAAATGGAATAGGAAATCAGCTGCAAGAATTCTTACGACAGTCAGTGCTGACAAGAAAACACAAAAACCATTTAGACGTGAAGTCAGAACTACTGGTAATACCAGAATCTTTTTCAAAATGTTCCACCAAAGGAAAGGAAAACCAAATATACAAACCCCCATAAGCAGTAATATCAAAGCATTGAAGACATTTGAAATGGGCTAGTGCATTTTCACGCTGTCTTGCTTACAGCTCCACAGCTCCTCCCAAGATAATTTGGGCAGGCTGGCAAACAAGAATTTGATGCTGGGGGCTTTTCCTCACGGTGATGGATGCAGCACATGGCAGCAGTAGCACTCCCACCTAGGATTGGAGATTTTCATTTGACATACAATAAGCACGATGCCCTGCACTTTTTGTTTCCATCCAGAAAGAAGAAAGGGAGCAGGGAACATTGCCAGCAACAGAACTGTTGGGACAATGCAGCAAAGGGAAGTTGCAGTGTAAGAAAAGAAACAAAGGGAAGAGGGCAGATACACAGGGAAGCAGGGCTGAGCACTGTGGAATGGCGTACAACAAGATCAAGGAGACTGTGAACCTGTACTAACTGTGGTGCTTGAGAACTGCTGGTAAGATGTACTGAGAACTCAAACATTACAGTGTTATCGTTGTATCACTCATTGTTGGTATAGATAAAGATTTAATGAGCTACCATTACAATATGTTATCTAAATTTTTAATACATTAAGAAGGGCTAATGTTGACTAGGCAGTCTGTATTTTAACACGTTCTCTTGTCAAATTGCAGTCTAGACTTCTCCCATATGTACCAAACCTATCTCAGATCTTCATTTTCAGAATGCAGCAGCTATGTGGTTTTTACTTTAGTTGCACTCTAAGGCTTAGTTTCATGTAGGTATTTTTAAAACCCTAGAATCCAGAAACCCAAATATCTGATAGAAGAAATTCTAAAATAAGGCCAAAGTTAAGTACTGCTTTCTGATACTCTAACTGCAAAACCAGGCACTTCAAAACTTGGGGTAAAAACAATTGTATTGATTTATACAATAGAAACAAGTAGAAAATTTGAGAATTCTCTAGAAAATAATTTCAGATTATTGTCATTCTATTGCCAAATCACTAACATGAGCTATCGTGTCTTACATAGGCAATTTCATTTTCAGAGAGAAAGTACTATACAAAGACAGGTAAGATAAGATAGAATGAGAACAAATGTGTAATTAGGACATTGCCACGTTCCAGCAAAGGCTTCAGTGATGCACAGAGCAAGCAGCCTGTATGGACTAGAGACTTGTATTTCTAATCAGCATCTGTTCGCTACTATTAAACTAGATCTATGCTGAAGATTGAGGTTTTCAAACATAGTGGAGATTTCCTTGCAGAGTTGCAAGTAACAGAAATATGCCAGTGTTCTTACGAGTTCTCAATTTAAAGTTTTATTTTTTTCCTTTGTTATTACAAGGCATCTGAAGCAAAAGAAGCTAATGTTAAATAAAAGCTAGAACATTTAAATGCAAGAAAAAACACCTCCTCCTTATGGAATGCAACGTGATATTATGAGTCAAATCACCAGAGTGAGTTAGATATATACCTTAAGCAGATTCAGATAGTAAGTAAAACTTCTTTCAGTTCATGCAATATCCATCTCTCTTTCAAGGAGCTGTTCCCCACATTCCACAAGCATGGAATTACCTTCATTACCTCAAAATTGTCATTTTTCAACTTGCACTGAAAAGATCACTCATTCCTCCAGAGGCAGACAAATTAGTACTACGTAATGCATATGATGATTATGTTGTCCTAGAAATTTATGTAAGCAAAATGTCAAGGAGGGCATCTTATCAAAATACTTCCTCAAAAAGAAATAGAATATATGGAAAGCCACCAAGAGAGATGAAGCAGGTGAGCTCTGTGACCAACCAAATTCTCGTCTAATCACTGACACTAATTTATAGAGAAATAGATTAAGCTTTTAGCAGTTGGCATTGCTTTGAAGGAAAATAAAAGAATAATACATAAAAGAAATAAAATAAATAAAAGCAAATGCACATTAATTTACATTAAGGACTGAGTGTCATGATGATGACATTGGTTCTTTAAATTTTGCCACGTGCACACTCAAGATCACATCTCTTCCTTCTTGAAAAGTTCCACAGACCGAGATGCTAGTCATACTGAGATAAGAACTTGTTATTCTGTGACTTTTTTATCAGTAAAAGTGAAGAGGTGTCTTATTTGCTACTGCTGTGGTTTAACACAGCAAGTGGCTCAGCATCACACCCTCCTTTGTTCACTCCCTCCTATTCGCAGTGGGATGGGAGAGAACTGGGGAAAAACAACAAAGTAGAACTCATGGGTTGAGATAGAACTATTTACAATTTTAAGGTAGAGAAAAGGATAATAGTTATGACTACAGATATACATGAATGTATACAATAAGTGATGCACAGTCAATTGCTCACCACTTCCCAACTGATGCCCAGCTAGCCCCTGGGCAGCAGCAGAGAGCCAGAGGAACTCTCTCCCTTCAGAACTCCTTCCACATGCTGCCATATGGTATGGAATAGCCCTTTGGCCAGTTTAAGTCAGCTGTCCTAATTCTGTTCCCTCCCAGCTCCTTGCGCCCTTCACTAAGAATGGCCTTGGCTCTGTACAACACTGCTTAGCAGCAACTATAAACATCACTGTGTTAGCAGCATTGTTTTTCTCCTAGAACCAAAACATGGCATTCTACCAGACACTCAGAAGAAAACAATTCTATTCCAGCTGAAACTAAGACAGATATCTGCATATTTATGAACAACACTTTCAGAGGATCTTGCCATTAAAAAGGCCATCTATCAGTGTAACAATTCAAAACCTAACGTGCCTGACCTTGTACAACACATAGCTCCTTACCAAAACTACAGATCTTCCATATAATGCAACATAAATACAAATGTTATGTATAAAAAAGATGCTCTTTGTTTGCTGACTTAACAGAAAGGAGGAGAAATGAGAGAAAACAGATATACTCCCAAAAAAAACAATTAACATTAAAGCTAAAGGAAATGTAGGCAGCACCCACAACCTCTGAATTAGTGCTCTACTTTAAATTAAGGCATGCAAAATAATTCCCAAATTCCTTTTTTTTTTTTCCCCCTCACCCCCAAGCCCAGCTATCTGCCTGTGAAAAGGCAATATTTCAGGCCTCAATGTTAACACCACCAAGCAATTATCCCAACTATACCACCACTAATCATTTTGAAGCTAATTTATTTATCATATAGCCCCTAAAAATGTTTATCCACTAGAGGAAAAAAAGCCTCTGACTGATTCATACAGGATAATACTGTGAATCTAACATTTCAGAAGGGGAGGAAAAAATTCTATTATTATTGTATGTAATATGTACAATATATATGTATTGTATAGTATGTACATAGTAATAATGACACACTCCACCTTCAATCACCTGGACCAAACCAAAAATTCAACTGAATCAGAGCATCTAATTGCAGCACAGGATGAATTTGCGAGACAAATTAATGTGTTTAGTGTATTTAGTGTTTTACAAGAACTGCCTTCACTGCACTTACACACTTTAAATTTCAAAATATTTAGTATTTCTTCTAACTCATATACTTAAGGTCTTAATAATAAGACAAAGGAACAACTTTATGTTATGGTCCCAACAAAGACTAAAATGTCCTCCTTCTGTCCTTCACCAACACGTGAATTAAGTCCTACCCAAAGAGTTTACTTATTACATACAAAAGGCTTACCATGTAGAAGTAAGATAGACAGCAGCAGATTGTCCAGAAGACTGACCCAGTTTTCACCGACTTCACCTTTAAATATAATCAAGTATAATAAACAAATATTGGACAATAATACAACATTCAATTTAAAAAAAAAAAAACAACAACAAAAAACAGCTGTCAAGAAAAGTTCTTAAATACATATCAAATTATATTTGTATGCTTCTGAACTGATGTCCATAAAAATCAAACCAGAATGGCAATTCATTCACACACAGAACAGCTTACATGTCTCTTGCTCTACATAATGCAGAGACAGGATGCACTGCAACTGTCTGTTTCATGATCCAAGGTAGAAAAGTAGCTGCAACGCTTTCATGCTGCTTTCTCTAAGACATTAGAACTTATTGTTAACTGTAGACCATCTGTGGCTTCCTTTGGCTGGCATCAGACCCAACTTTGCAATTATAAAGAGCTATCCTGTAATTTTGAAAAACTCATTTAGGGTTAGTGAGAGCATCCAGATTTTACTAAAGGTATAGCAGGATCCATGAGCTGGCTCAGGAATATGATTTTGTACAGAACAGATAGTGGTGAAATACTGCCATTAAACAAAGCCATGCAGTTATCTGTAAAATATATTTGATTCACACAATTCTGCAAGAACTTATGCAGAACACTACTGGCACTATGCAGTCTAGTTAAATACGGGAGTTCCATTAGAACAGATAACTGCTATTGTGTCTTAGTTATTAAAAAGTAACAACATAGGTCGATTCTATTATTATCCAAACCAATATACCTTTACAACTGCAATTTAAATTCAAATTAAGAAAACATAAAAATCATTAGCGGACCTTTCTTCAGAACCTGCACTTAATTATCACCAGTAACTTAATCATGAAAAGCTTGAATTTCCTTCTATTATGTTCTTACCAACAATTTCCCAAGTTTCCAAAGCTAAAAAATCTGCAAGTATGCATTTGTTTCTGGAAACTAGAATTCTTGACAAATTATGGGAAAAGCAGCAGCAGCTGCTCCCTATGAAGACATTCATTGCAGCAATTACATGCCTTAAAGGACAGCACAAGGAACAGCACCATAGTGTCCACATTGAATTAACAATGTGACTACGTTCTTTGTGTTATTTCCATAATAAACAGAACAGTCCCAAAAAACTCCAGCTTGCCTAAACCCCTTCACACAAAACTATGCGACAAATGAAGTTCTACATGCAGATGAAGGAGTGACAGATGAAAAAGTAGGCTGTTTAAAAGGCATTAGACTATTAAACATTTTTTAAGCATGCGAGCAGCATGAATATCTTGCTCCATAGGCAGCTTTAGGTATTAAATTTGAATACTTAAGTCAATGTCTAGACATACAGTCAACAGCTTCTCCAGATGACAATCTGAAGTCTACAGCTTTTCACCAGCTAAATAAGGAGGCTCAAGTCTGATGCTCACCTAAACACCAGACACCTCCAAACCAAAAAATGAAAGCAACCCTACTGTTTCTTTAAACTCACAGACTCATCATTATTACTATTACTACAGGACACACGTATTCCAGCTGAGCAGTATTTTCATGTAAGAAACTGAAGAGCATTATTATGGAGTGGTTCAGATCACGTGACTTCTCAGTACTTGTCTCATCCAGAGCCAAAGGGAAGAGAAACGAAAGGGAAGAAAATGAGATTTCAATGAATGCTAAGAAAAATCATTTGGTTGGAGGAGGAACCAAAAAAACGTTTTGAAAGCAAAAGATTCAGCAATTACTTACCCATAAATAGTATGTGAACTGCAGTGCAAAAATAGCTATGCCTTCATTGTCAAATGATCCTGCTACTGATCGAGATATGTAACCTGGAACTATGGCAATAAAACAGGCAGCTAAAAGCCCTGCTCCCTGGTTCCACAGTTCTCTGGTGAGCAGGAAAGTAGAAATAGCTGTAAGGCCGCTAAAAACGGGTGCTAGGAACACGCACACGTCTCTTATATGGACTGTCACGTTCAGCATATTTAAAATCCAATGTATAAGGCCTGCTGTCACCATCAGTCCTGGGTATACCTAAAGGGAGGAAAAAAATCTCACTGTATTATTGTAGAAAATGGTCACGGTGAGTTTATTTGCATATGATTTGCAAGGAAATACAATCATTTCTTAAGCTGATACAAGCAGTGAACAGGCAGAGTTAATGGAATTATTTTAATACTGCTTTAATCATGTTTTGACAACACTGCTGAATACCCAAGGTTCTTTAAATTTTACCCAAATGCTAACAATTAGATATAATACATTTTCTAAATGAATAAGCAGCGCACAGATAATATCCTATCTTCCTTGACATTTATCATATAATGAGCAGAATTTTCAGTTAAGATAAGGAATCATAAACTAAAGTTTGTATGAAAATTTCAAGCCAGCTAACAGCTTTAAGAAAGAAAAACACAACAAAACAAATCCAAAAAACAACCAAAACAACAACAAGCTCCTCAACATTTCTCAGCTATTTCCAATTTTCTCTATAATACACCATGTCATTTATTTATTTCTTGTTACTCGTGGAGAAAGAAAATATGCATTGAAGTTTTTAAATTGAAAAGCTGACTGACAGTGAGTTTTCTATATTTGCAAGATATCCACAGACATCTTAGATAGGAAGACTAAAACAAAGTCCCACAGAACTGAATTAAGATGTCCCCCAGGAAAGAGCTGCATTGGTTCCATGGATTTGTATCTATCATAGAATACTGGAGAACATTAAAATATTCTTAATAGGAATTGTAGCCTTCCATTTATCAACATTAAAAAAAATCAATATGCAGTAGAGAACTTAATATGGACTTCAGCTGCCTTAGTTTCTTCCAAAAGCTAAGAAGAGCTTTGTGCTGAATTAACAGATGACGGGATGTTCTGCTTATATCCTTGAGAACAGGTTACCAAGGCAAACTATATAACATAATACACCATGCAACTTCCAAAATATGGTATGCAATCAAAATTTTAATTTTGATTTCCAAGGTTGTTTACTTCAGATAAGTATGGAAAAATACACATATAAGAAGTATGTCACAAGTATCTCTAAAACACTAAAACAAATAGTGATCTAATTACAAAAAGCTTTGTAAATGAATGTAAATGGTATACTCTGTAATTAAAAAAAAGTTTTAAAGTCCCTTCAAGGTTACATATGGCTATGTTACTTAGAATTACAAAAGACATTCTACTGAGCTATATTTGTATTCTAATAGATAATACTGTTTCTTATAACTTTCCCATTTCAACATCTATCTTAGCCCCTCCTGATGCTTCATGCATGTCTCTTGACCACTCCTAGTTTAGTTTCAAAGGGTCTTTATTCAGTGAAACCCTCAATATAAATTCCACATGCAGATGATGCCCACTCAAAATATATAAGTGACTTAGAATTTGAGTCATAGAAGAGTTAGATAATTGCTTTTCACTTTCTTTTCTTTTGTATTGTAACACTGTGTAATAGTTTCTCTACAAAGGAAAATCAAAGTTACAGGAGTCATAAAACCCCCACTTATTATTACGAGCTCACATGTAAGAAGGCAAAATTCAGTTCTTTATTTCTTGTTCACAGTATACTGTTGGATGAGGTCTAATGCATATTGACTTAATGTCTTAATTACTGCTGCTAAAAATTAAAAACATCTTCTTATTCCCTCAACAGCAATGTGACAATTAAAAGTATTTTCGACCAAGATTCTCCCTGTATTGATGTCAAAGTTGTGTTTAAAGTTCAACAACTTTACCACAAAGTCAACTTTAAGTTATTATTATAATACTTACAGTTCCACCAACTATTCTTCCCAGTGGATACCATGCTCTTTCATCAAACCAGTTTAAAAATTCATAAAATCCATGGGATGCAAGATGATGTGTTGATCTATAGTTAAACCTAGAAAAAAAGAAAAGAACAGTGGAAAGGGAATAAAAATCAAGAGCCTTAGGTATAATGTAAGTCCTCTTTTCTCTGAGATCTAGAAAATAAATAACCTTCAACATCTTACCTACTATACAGTGGTCCAGTCAAAATCCATAGATTTTTAAAGTAAATTACCAAGCTTGCAGTTATTAACAACCACATTGTCTCCATTTCTACAGCTTGTGCACACACACAGGTAAACATTAAACAGTTTTCTACGACTCTGACACAAGCCTGTATTACTTCTGCATTCCCTTTTAAAGTCTCTTCACCAATTTACATACCTATCCAGAATACCCCTTAAATAAAACAAAGGCTATGCAAGAATTAATGCAGGACTTCCTTCTGAGTCAAGACAGCTACCCAGCAGGTCTGCTACTGCTCTATTTCACATAATGTTGAAAGATGAAGTGATGTAATAATATGAAATAAACACTCTAATTGTTCACTTGGTGTCAACCTGACGGCCCTCTGCATAAATCTGTTCTTTCAAACAAGAACCTACTAACATAAGATAGAAATGAAATTTCACCTTCAAAGTTTGTACGTATTTTCTGCATCAGAAAATTCTTTCCACAATTAAAGCCCTTCCATGTATACCTTCACTTCAGCCTTCCACGCCGCCCATATAACACTGACAAGCAAACACACATTGCTATCAATGCAACAATCTTCTGATTTTCTGGCAAATAATTAATTCTTCCAATGTCTCCAACTTCAAGTAGCAACATCTTGCAACTACTCTAAAATTCTTCAAATTAGCTCGTGCTGCTGTGAGACAAGCTGCAGTCTATTTTACCCAAAAGAGTAACTCTTGTATGTGCATTCTGAAGCCAAAGCAATAAAGCCATAGGTATTAATGCGGAACAGCTTTGAGGAGAACAGAACAAAAACAAATACACAAAAACAACAACAAAACTAAAAACTCAACAAGCAAACCTTAGACTTACAACAGCCTGGGTAAATGCCACTTCTAAAACAAGCAAATCCATAATTCCATAAATCCAGCCTTCCTAATAGATATTCCAAATGGTATTTAGTGTAAAAGATTACTTTTTTTTTGCTAAAGTCAGATGACTAAATGGAAAACTAACAGAGAAGAGGTTAGATGGGTAACCCACCATGAAAGACTTCATTACAGTTTGCACTCACGCCTAGAAAAGCTTATACGTATTTTTTATTTCACCTATTTCCTGAAAGTATCCATTTACATCAGTGACAAACAAAAATTTACATACATTAAACTTTCTTGGGTATTTAGGATTCCCAAAATATCACTGATTTACTTTAAAATAATTCATTTCAGCTGAAGGAAGCTCATGTCACTCAAGACTGCAAGACTCATCAAGCTCCTGCTCATTTAATCAGCAGAACAAGGCTAATATCTGAATGACAACCACAAAGAGGTTACAAGCAGTTTTTGTCTACAAAATGAAAGGATAAAAAGAATTGAAATTCAAATCCAGATGCCTGCAAACCCGTATGGTTCCACTCACTGACTTATCACAGCATCAGTCAAGTGATATTAAAAAAAAAAAAAAAGTAATAATGCAGTATTTTCAGGAAAATTGTCCATTATAATCATTAATGTAGGATACACTAACTGATAAAACTGTAGACCTTCTAAAGTAATTAGCCATGTTTATATAAAAAATTCACATAAACATCAGTCATTTTGACCTAGAAATCTATTTATCAAAAAGCAATGTGACATTTGTTTTTAATAAGCCTGCAACCATTCCCATTTGACTAGATTTCTAAATATGAATTAATTCTCCAGCTCTGAATGTCTGAATGGTCAACTGTAATATGATTCACAAAATGCTGTACCTGTAAAATTAGCCTCTTATCTTAGTGCAGCAAGGTTTTTTGTTAATTTGTTTAGTGCCAAGAGCCTGCAGCATCGTACGAGACAAAACAGGAATTTGCGTGCTCTCCAGCCAGTTATGGCCCTGACTTAAAATGCACTGAAAACCCAGTCAACACTGCTATCCTAGAGCATTAAAAAGGAAACAAGAAAGATAATGCATTTACTAACATGGACTAATGTCAATTTTTAAAGTCATGACTGGAGCTCACACAGGCTGCAGATGTTTACTCTAGCAACATTAAAAGATAAGTTAAAAATGAAATAGGCAAGAATACATATTGACATTCTCCTCAAGTTTCAAACGAGTAAAGCTTCTGAAGTGACTTCAGAGGGAAAAGAACAACTGTCTTGTGCTTTGGCTGCAACCCATTATGTATGTAATTAGAATGAATTACCACTCAAAACTGAAACCCAATATAACAGCATTTATACTTTTACTGCTTAAGATGAATGAATTTAATCTTCTCTCCTAATACACTTTTTGTTAGATACAAATCTATTGACCCCTCCTTTTGAAAGGTGATGGATTCTTCTATAGTAGATTAATTTTTCACTGTGAGGTGTCCTATAGGTAGAGCAAGAAACAGCCTTCAGACCAGAGAAATCTAAAAAAATAGTATTTAGAAGCTTAACTACAGAACCTCACTGTGACTTCAGAAAAAAAAGAAAGTGCCCACTTCCCCTTCCATCGGGTAACATGCTAGCAAAAATAAATACGTGAGTATAAGCATAAGCATACATAAGGACAAATCTGCTGAGTAATGCTGTGCAAGGGCCAGCTTTAGGTGCTGACAAAGCAGCAGTGGTGGGCAGTGTACCAGACAGCTGAACACGACACCCGTATTATGCTTTGGTACTACTTCCCTGCTTCATAGTGATCTGTTCCTACAGGGACAAGCCTGAACCTTGTAAAACTGTTTCCCTTTCAGCAGAATGGAGAGAGATGATAACAGCATGTACTGCAAACAATACTCCAGATGGTTGTGGTCAGCAGCTCTGTGTCCACGTGGAGACTGTTCGCAAGTGCTGCCCCCAGGGGTTCTCTTCTACATCTTTATCAGTGACGTTGAAAGTCCAGAGGGATTAAGGGCAAGTTTGCTAATGAAACCAAGTCAGAAGGAAGGGATATGACATCTGGACAGACCTGGACAAGCTTGTGAATGAAATGAGATTCAACAAGGCCCAGTGTAAGGCATTGCACTTGGTTAAGGCAACCCCAGATACACGTACAGACTGGCAGAAGAACTCAGAGCGCAGCACTGCCAAGAAGGACCTGGTGATGAAAAGTTGGACATGAGCCACCAGTGTGTACTTGCAGCCTGAAGCCTGACGGTATCCCGGGCTGCATCAATAGAGGGGTGGCCAGCAGGAAGAAGGAGGGGATTGTCCCCCACTGCTCTGCCCTTGTGAGGGCCCATCTGGAGTACTGTGTCCAGGCCTGGGGCCCCACTACAGAAAGACATGGAGCTGTCAGAGTGGGTCCAGAGGAGAGTTACAAAGACTATTGAAGGACTAGAGCACTTCACCTACAAAGAAAGGCTGAGGGAGCCAGGCTTGTTTAGCATAGAGAAGAAAAGGCTTTGGAAAAAACTCATAGCAGCCTTCTGGTACTTAAAGGGAGCCTACAAGCAGGAGGGAGACCAACTTTTTACAAGGTCTGATGGTGATAGGATGACAGGGAACAGTTTTAAACTAAAAAAGGAGAGATGTAAATTAGATGTTGAGAAGAAATTCTTTACTCAGAGGGTGGTGAGGCACAGAAAGGTTGCGGATACCCCATCCTTGGAGGTGTTCAAGGCCAGGTTGGATGGGGCTTTGGACAACCTGATCTAGTGGGTGGCAATTATGTCCACAGCAGAGGGTTGGAACTCTATCTTTAAGGTCCCTTCCAAACCAAGCCATTCATGATTTTATGATCACACAACACTCATGCCACCTTGGTACTTTACAAACTGTACTAGAAAGTGGTACGGTGGTATCATATTTCTACAGATGACACATGCAACCACCTACAGGCTCCACAGAGCATTAAAAAAATCTCAGGAAATATCAACAGATGAGCCTTTTTGCTTATGCCCACATCCCAGTGGTGGAAGGGTGGCACATCTCAGCCTCAGTATCACCATCTTCACCAGTTCTTCTACCCCAACAGATATCAAGGACTTTTTCCAACTCCCTTCCTGACTGGATAGAGATTAGGCACACCAGGACTGGAGAGGCTGCTGGTTACAGTGACTGAATAGTATGTGGTACTATGTGACAGGATCGCCTTAAGGAAAGGATCCCTCTTCTCCCACCCTCAGCCACCTGATCTGGAGGTATGAACTGGTCACCCACCTTGCAAGATTCTCTTCCTCCCTTTGAGGCAAGTCATTGTGAGAAGAATGAAGAGGAAAATTACGTGAAATGCATGTCTAATTAAGAACTTAGCTTGAAAGCCTGAGGTGAACATTCACGTTCTCAACCTACATTGTGAATAAGATACACATTCGCTATCAGTTAGCAAAGAAGAGCTCTTAAGGACTTGACTGACTGAATACTCGTGTGCACTGACTTTTCTTATTTTAGCTGACATTCTGTGAGGAAAATGATGCTCTGCTGTTCTCCTTGCCTCTTTCTATCAGGTCTGTAGTCTGAACTATCTCCTCCTCAGAGCACGTTTTTGAAGGAATCAAACAATCCTCTTGGTACGTTTCAGAATTAGAAGTCTCAGCCACCAAATTAGCCTAGTTTGGACCTTCTGGGGAGCACTCCAGCTTCACTAAGATGATGTTCTGTGCATGGTACTATTAATTTTTGGTGATATTGCTGGCGATTTTCTGGCAACTACTGAAGATATGTATATTATGATAGGTTGAGTGAATACCTATATTGGAGAAATCTATATTATAGTAAGTACAGCAGAAGACTAAAGAAGAGTTAAGAAGCATGGTTCTCATTTTCAAAGCATATTTTAATTTCAGCTTGCAGCTGAGCAAAAGCAGCAGCAGCAAAATAACTGAGCAGAGGCAGCATTTCTAGTAGTAGCAAAATTAACTTGAAAACTTAACTAAGCAGCTTGCAATACAAAGCCTGTGAGAATTTTCATGAACATGCTATGTGC